GTTTGAGAATCCAAAAAGTCTTCTTCCATCTGCCTTTGACTTTCCATAGTAGAAAAGCAAGGTGATCACCATAAAAAAATTTTCCCCTTTTAGGCTTCTTCAGAATAATTCCCTAGTGAATAGTTGGTTAGTGGTAATAATACCTTGTATGATTTAAATTTGTTATAGTGAAGGATGCAGATTGAAGCCAATCTGAACAGGTAAAGCAAATCAAAGTATTAATGTGAGTGTCCTGAGGTGGATCTGTATGAAGTTTTCACTTTCACAGACCCACATTTAGAAATCCTCTACCATTACCTGTAAATCAATATGAAGTTTTCTTACGTTGTATTAGCTTCTACACAACTTTTACAACACCTTCCTAGACAATGGCTTTGAGAAAGGAATGCAAACAAAGTAGTAAAGTTTAATTTGCAGCATAAATAGTAACATTTAGAGATTCTATATTCTTAAAAGAATATTAGATCTGGAGTAGAGAGGATGCTGACTTGATTTTCTTCTAGTTTACAAAAGTAATGGGAATGATTGGGCAAATCATCTTTTTTTTTTTTTTGGTATGGCACTTTGGATTGAACCTAGGAGTGCTTTATTACTAATCTACACTGCTAGCTCTTCTTGTTTTTTTATTTCGAGACAAGGTCTTGCTAAGTTGCTGAGGCTGGCCTCCATCTTGTGATCCTCCTGCCTCACTTCTCAAGTCGCTGAGATTATAAACATGTGCCATCATACCTGGCACAAACCAGCATCTTTTTAAAAAAAATTAAATTTTTAATTTGTTTTAATTAGTTATACATGACAGTAGAATGCATTTATGTACTTTGATATATCATACATAGATGGGATATAATTTGTCATTTTTCTGAGTTTACATGTTGTAGAGTCTTATTGGTCATGTAGTCACATATATACATACAGTAATAATGTCTGTTTCATTCTACTATCTTTCTTATCCCCACATCCCTTGCCTTCCCCTCCTTTCACTTCCTCTACCTAATCTAAGGTAACACTATTCTTTTTTTTGCATTACAATTTTAATACACATATATATCACAATTTTTGTATCTCTGTTTATATATAAAGTATGTTGACACCCAATTCAAGTCTTCATACATGTACTTTGTATAATGATGTCCATCACATTCCATCATCCTCGCTCATCCCCTGCTCCCTCCCACTCCTCTTCCCTATTTAGAATTCATCTATTCTTCCCATGCTCTTCTTCCCAATCCCATTATGAGTCAACCTCCTTATATCATAGAAAACATTCGCTATTTGTTTTTTGGGGATTGGCTGACTTCACTTAGCATTATCTTCTCCAACGCCAGCCATTTACCTGCAAATGCCATGGACAAACCAGCATCTTTATGTGGGTGTTTTTTAATTGCATTATTTGGGGTATTTATCATTTATTAATTTATTTTTATTTTTTTATAGTGTACACAATACCTTTATTTTGTTTGTTTCTATTTATGTAGTGCTGAGGATCGAACCCAGTGCCTCACCTGAGGGGCAAGTGCTCCATCACTGAGCTACAATCCCAGCCCTGTTTACCATTTATTTACCTGACTTTTTCCTTTCTACTAAAAACAACAAAGCAACCTGTGTTTACTAAAGATACTTAGAATGCCTTGGCTTAAAATGCTGAAGGAGAAATTAGAACTTGGCTGTTATCTATCATGGATTCAGAAATTGGTAAATTGGGTAAGGATCCCCATTCCTTAAATGCTTACAGAAGTGAAGTTATGCTAGAGAAAACTTGTTTTCATGATTCCTTTCTCTCTAAAGATAATGTTTTGCATAAGTTTTAGACCCAAAATAAGAGTAGGAAGTATGATACATTGTATAAATGATGGTTGTTTCCATCTCCAATAAAATGTTAAACTATACTGATGAGTCAGGATTTACTTTAGAGCTTCCTTAAAATGCAAAATGTGACTTGATTTTTAAATCCTTGATTTACATATTTGCCAGAATCCATTTATTATAGAAAGCAAGACACAGCTGTATCCTCCCTGGGGCTGATTGTTCCAGTCAAATCCTTCTAAAACACTAATTAGGAAGATTAGGATTTAATTTTTTGTTTCTTAACAACAGAAGATTCTTGTTATAGAGTTAATGAATATACACACTTCCCAGAGTATGTTATCAAAAGGTGTATACTATGTAGTTTTCATCAATGGTTTATTTCCAAACTTTAGTATGTTTAATATGAACAGGCTGACACATTTTTTTTTAAGAAAAATTTCCAAGGTCACTGAATTTGGGAAGTTATATAAAACTGAACCCATCACCAAGGTATTTGGTAGAAATTTTTACCACAGGGTAGTAGAAAAACAAAAAAACATCACCAAAAGTAGGAAGAGGTAACTATGGGATCACCACTGTGTAATAATAATAAAGTAATGATCACAATGAAATACATACATATAATAGCTTGATAAAAGAGGACATCAAGGAAATCATGTTTTTGAGAAGGTATTACAACAAAATGTGAGCTTTAAAGAGGCATGTTCAACCTACTGGAAGTCTTCAAGTTATTTTTAAAAGGCCATATGGGAATCTCAAGGTGTATTTGTTTCATGTGCATTCTGGAGATAGGTGAGGATATTCATATAGCTTGAAGTATCAAAGAGCCTCCAATATGGAATGTGCATGTTTTAGAAATGGAAAAAATACAGGAATATGTGGGAAGCTTATAAAGTAAAATACATCATGTGCAAACTGTATTTTAGGCAGGCTGAAAAAGAGAAGTTGATAAAATTCTTTAAAAGCAGTAGTACGTCTTGAAGTTACCTCAAAAGGAACCAGTTTACTAAGGTAGTAGTGTGTGTATTTGGTTATCACAGAGCAAAGAAATTGATAAGAGAAAAATAAACCTTAATGGCCTCTTTAATAATAAGATATAAGGGACATGTTAACTCCATAATTATCTGCTGAAATTGATGATAAGGTAAAACTAGGCAAAATTATAGAAAATGAACAGATATTCTAGGTCCAATAGACAAAGTCGATTATAATTTAGCTCACCAGAACTAAATTGCATCCTCTTATATTTTGGCAGAACTCAAAGTTTTAGACTAATAAAATACTTAAGAATAATTTAATAATATGCTTTTGGGGGAAGGCTTGGACATCTTGAGATGCTACTTGATCAGAAGTATGTCTTCAACATTAAAAGTTTAAGAAGTATAAAAAAATTCTTATGGGAGTAAGGTTTTAATTTAAAGTTGTATATTGTAAGAAAAGAAAAAGAATATTTCTATATCAGGAAAGGACAGTGAATTTATAAATCTAAGTCATGCCTATACATTCATTAATCTAAAAACCTTTGCTTCATGTCAGATTTTATCAGAGAAAAGTGTTAATATTATTATTCTCCACTGTGAAATAATTTGTGAAAGTTCTTTTGTATATTTAAAAACTTTTCAAAGTTCCTACATTCTGTTTTTTAAAACAATACTGGGCCTCAAACCCAGAGTCTCATGCATGTTAGACAAGTGTTCCACTATGTAGGTTCATCTACCATCATCAGATGAATAATTTACATTTATTTTTTTCCATTCTGTAGTTTGTCTCAACTTTATTGTTTTCTTTGTTGTGTAGAAGCTTCTTGATATGATATAATATCATTTGCATAATTTTGCTTTTGTTTCCTGTGCTTTTGGGGAATAATTCTTTTTAACATTTTTATTAGAGCATTAAAATTATATATAATAGTGGAATTTGTTACACCATATTCATATATGCACATAACATGATGCTATCAATCTTATTCCCCAGTACCTTTTCTGTCCCTTCTCCCCTCCCCCCGATCTGCTTCCTCTACTGATATTATCATTATTACTATCTTAATTAGTACATTGTAATTATATATGTAAGCAGGATTAATTGTGATATATGCATATATGGGCTTAGTATATTTTGGTAGATTTCTTTCCTCAGCATGGAGAACAGTTCTTTAATAAAGGCATAGAATCGCTTTTCAGCCATTGATGAGAATATTTCACACAAATAGGATCCTAAAAATGTGAACAGATAGTTCTTAAAAGAAGAAATTCAAATGGCCAACAAATTTATGAAAAATTGCTCAACTTTATTAGATATCAGAGATATGCAAGTTAAAACTGCAATGAGGTATCATCTTACCCCAGTTAGAATAGCTATTACGAAAAAGACAAAAACATTTCAGCCATTGATGAGAACATTTCACACAAATAGGATCCTACATTAAAAAAAAAAAAAGGATCAGAAGTATTTTGTGTTCTTTGTTGCTTAGAATTATAGGTGGGTTTTTTGGCAGGTCTGAGTTGAGACAGAGGAGAGTTCAAAGGTAATATTGAGAGAATGTTGTTTTCTTTTGTTATTATTTTAGGTACTGGGGACTGAACACAGTGGTGCTCTACCACTGAACTACATCCCCGGTCATTTTTAAATTTTGAAATTTAGAGTCTCCCTAAGTTGCTGAAGCTGACCTCAAAATTGCAATCCCCCTGCCTCAGCCTCTGAATGACTGAAATTATAGGTGTGCACCACCATACTCACAAAGAATGCTTATAAAACTCTTCTTACATTTGCATTAATGTCCAAACTATATACAATCCTTTGCTTTGTTCCAAAATATATCTGATCTTTTGGCAGTCCTCAGAGACTTTGCTGTATGGGATTGTTAGTGGTAGTACCATCAGCTAAACCCTTTTGGTGTGGGTGATCCAGTAGAATGTGGACCAGCTGGCTGTTTGAGATTACAGTTGTTCTAACAAAGCAATTGTGGAGAAGAGTCAAAGGAGTTTGTAAGCTTTAAAAAAAATTAAAAAATGATAAATGTTCAAGGAGATGAAATTTGATCATTACACATTGTATATGTGTTGAATGATCACACTATACCCAGTAAATACATACAATTAAAAATATTAAAAATTGAAGACCTATACAAAAAGTGTTTTTGTCTTATGATTCATTTTCCTTCATTTAAAAAATCATCTGTGTTCTTTGTTCCATAGAATAATATAGCAGATCCAGAAGAACTGTTCACAAAATTAGAACGCATTGGAAAAGGCTCATTTGGAGAAGTTTTCAAAGGAATTGATAACCGTACTCAGCAAGTTGTTGCTATTAAAATCATTGACCTTGAGGAAGCCGAAGATGAAATAGAAGACATTCAACAAGAAATAACTGTTTTGAGTCAATGTGACAGCTCATATGTAACAAAATACTATGGGTCATATTTAAAGGTAATGTGTGTGCTATATTATTTAAGTCATAAGGTATTTTCATTATGTTTTTCTTCCTCTCTTTTTAAATTCTGTTTTTGAAAAGCAATGTCTCAAATTAAGATTTGGCAGTCTTTGTCCTTTAGGCAGAATCCAGCTCCCTCCATTATAGTGCCAAATAAATTGTTGTTAGATTTAGCAACTGTATCCTGAATATATCTCAGCACTCAGCTGTACACTGTTCTATACCTGAACTTTTGGTTCAGTGGAGGAGCAGAAATGGAGCAGCTGGCTCTTGAGACATATCCTTTGTCAGGAAAAAGCCAACCTTCCTTGGTTCCTGCAAACTCTTTTCAATAGTTCATTCTGTCTGAATCTCAGAATTGATGAAATTTTTAAGTATGTCTCTTATTCCATTGAGTTAAGGTGTTTGCATTTTTCTCTCCCATCAGGTTGTGAGCTTCTTGATGGCAGGCAGTTTAGCTTAACCAGTCTTGGTTTCTTTGTCACAGCACAGACATAGAGTCTGGCACATCTCAAGCACATGATAAATGTACTCATTCATTCATTATTGTCCTCAGGAGATTGGTTGTAGGCCCTGCTTCCCAAGACACTAAAATCCCCAGATGCTCAAGTCCCTTATATAAAATGACATAGTATTTGTGTATTACCTATGTACATCCTCCCTTATACTTTAAATCACCTCTAGATTATTCTCTAATACATTGTAAATATTATGTTAGTAGCTGTTATACTGTATTGTTTACAGAATAATGACAAAAAAGTCTGTACTTATTCAGTAGAGAGGTTTTCTTCGACCCATAGTTGGTTGAATCTTGGATATGGAACTTATAGGGGAACAACTTTTTGTTAAAATGGAATAAAATGAAATAATATTGACCCCCTGCTGAAGCTGGATTTTTTCCTGGTTCCAAGATGATGTAATTAGCAGCCACCTAAATTTCCAGCAGATGGAGATGTTACTGCATAACAGAAAATTCTTTGTTTAGTAAAACCCAAGAGTTCTTGGGTTCCAGAGGTAAAAGTCAGGATTTGTGTCCATTGAAATGTAAATAATAAATAGCTACAATGGATTAGACAAAGGAGAATGAAGAGAAGGAAGGGGGATTAGGAATAGGAAAGATAGTGGAATGAATCTGACATAACTTTCCTATGTACATGTATGAGTACACTGCAATGAATCTTAATACCATGTACATCCTAAGATGAACTGAAATCCTAATTAGATAAGATATACTGCATGTTTGTATAAATATGTCAAAATGGACTTCACTGTCATATATAACTAAAAAGAAGAAATAAAAATAAAAGAGATAAAGAAAAAGAATAAATAGCTAGAAAATTCTAGGTTGGGTTTTAAATTGTTTTTAAAATAAAATTGTTGGGGCTGGGGTTGTAGCTCAGTGGTAGAGCACTTGCCTAGCATGTATGAGTCACTGGGTTTGATTCTTAGCACCAAATATAAATAAATAAAGGTATTGTGTCCATATACAACTAAAAATGTTTTTTAAAAAATTGTTTTACTGGGTGTGGTTGTGCATGCTTCTAATCCCAGCAGCTTGGGAGCCTGAGGCAAGAGGATTGTGAGTTCAAAGCCAACCTCAGCAATAATTTAGGAAGACCATAAACAATGTAGGTAGACCCTATCTCAAAATAAAAAATAAAAAGGGCTGGGGATATGGCTCAGTGATTAAATGCCTCTGGGTTCACTCCTGGCACCAAAAATAAAGAAATAAAAAATTGCTTAATCCCATGTTGAAAAATTTCAAAGGAAAGCAGTATTAGACTTTCAGAGTTTATAAGGGTGGGATTGCTTAGTATTGTTTCTTATGCAAGGCGCCGGTGTTTGTGAAAAAGATGGAGATGGACACACACCCCCAACCCCCCACCCCCCGCAACACACACACAAAGCTACTATGGGACAGAGAAGAGACTACTTCACTGACCTCTGAGAAGATGTCCAGAGTGCATGCATGTGCAAAAAATTCGGCCCAAAGGGAGCTAGCTTGTTGTGGCGATCTGTTTGTCTCAACTTTTCAGGTTGGCTGCAGTGCCGCTACAATTTAGACCCTAACTCTGGGCTGAGTGTATGTCTGCAGTGTAGACATGCGCACAGCAACCTTGGCGCAGACCTGGTGTGAGCCATTAAATATGGATCGTCTGAGGCAAGGTTACATTCCAGATTCCAGAGTACTTGCTGTCTCTCAGTGGCCTCAGAACCAGTGTGCGGAGTGAGGACGGAAGCAAAGAAACCTTGGTTTTGGCAAGGGTGCATATGACGTGTGTGTGGGCTTTCCTCCACAGAGCGCTTGCGCATGGCCGCAAAGCGTGTGTGTACACGACTGCAGAGCGCACATGCGCACAGCTGCAAAGGCAGTGTATACAACCGCAAAGAGCATGCGCTCATAGCTGCAAAGCATGTGTGTACAATTTCAGAGCGCGCGCACGGCCACAAAGCGGGTGCGCATTTGGTATGTGAACTCGCCTGGCAGCCATCTTTCATGAATCTGGAGCCCGGTGATGATGAAACTGATAAATAATTCTTGCCTTACTTCTTTGTTCCTAGCGGTCCAGTGGCATCTCAGGTATACTAGATCCACCTGTAATCCTTCCTATGGGTGTATAATGCTTCCTATGCTCCACTATAGTGTTTCAATTTCTTAAAAGGGCCCTTGAACCATTCCAGGATTATTTTGGTTTGCGTCTGTGTGGCAGATGTTGCAAAGATCGCTCTTTTTTATTCCTCCATCTTAGTGACTTCACTTTGTCATTGCTTTCTTTATCAGTATTTATATTAATTAATATCTATGTAAGTGAGGCATGGTGGCGCACGCCTGTAATCCCAGCGGCTTGGGAGGCTGAGAAAGGAATCTCACTAGTTCGTCTTCAGCAACTTAGGCTCTAACTCAGCGAAACCCTGTCTCTGAAATACAAAAATGGCCTGGGGATATGGCTCAGTGATAAACTTCCTCTGAGTAATCCCTGGTACCAAAAAAAAAAAAATTACCATCAGTTTCCTTGCCTTTTTACAAGTTTGATTTATTTTAACATTATATGAATTAGATAGAGAGTGTATGCATAGTAGAATTAATCCTTAAACAGCCACTATATTAAACACTGTACTAGATGCATAAAAATGGTGCAAATTTTATGATTAAAGTGCATCTAAAATACAGATGAGGCACAAATATGCCAGCATCCTGTTTTTGAGAATAATTTGAAAAAAAAGTCCTCAAAAAGGAAGTAATAATACTGATAATTTTTATTCAATTTCAGCATTTCTTTCTAAGTGTTAGCTGTATTTTACCTCATACCTGAGTTTTTGTCCTTTGGCTTTCATGTTCACTCCTAAAAGGCTAATTTAGCAGTTAATATTAAGTTAGAGAAATCTCATGATTATTCAGTTTCAATAGTTTTTAAGTCCCCCTTCTAATTCCTACAACAGACTTTGTTGTAGGCAGTCCTAAGATTTTTTTTTTTTGTATGTGTGTATGTGTGTGATTTGTTCTTTTGGGTTGACTCTTTCTGGATAGAATACTGGTAATTCCAGACCCAGTTTAAAGCAAACCTGAACCCTTGCTATTTTTACGCCCATATAACAGATAAGCTATTTTTGGTGACTGACTTAAAATATTTAATAAGCCCTATTTAAAATAGGTCTTGTTTATTATATTGGAAATAACTACTGATATGAGAAATTTAACTTTTTACTAGTTATAGCCTTTGTTTATTCATATTCAGTCTCATAGAAAATGTATTACAACTCTATTTTTACAAGATTTCACATTTAAAAAAATTCTCTTCAAAACTTAGCACCACATTATATATGTACTATTCATCTAGTAATTACTTAATCTTTAAATAAATATAAACTAATTTTTGTACCAAATCTTGATTGTAGAATATACTCAAGACTAGTTGGTGATAATAGAAAAAACACCATTGTCCAAGATGTTCTTGATGGATTAAATTGAAATTTTTTTTATCTCCTTTCTCAATCATTAATTGAAGTCTCTTAGTAAAAGAATACTTTGGGGATGGGAATGGCTCAGTGGTAGAGCACTTGCCTGGCATCCATGAGGCCCTAGGTTTGATCTCCAGTACTGCAAAAAAAAAATACAGTGAAGAACTTATTGTTTCATGATAAAATTATCTATTTAAAGTAAATAAATGTATGATACACATGTTTATCTCTATACATATATATATGTATATATATATATACACACACACACACAGAAAACAAAATATGGTCTTTTAATACTATTTATTTGAATCACTTTTTAAAATTGAACAACTTGTTTTCCATTTATATTAAATCTTACAGTGATTGTGTAGACTTGAGTTTTTTCCTAAACTAAAATCACATATAACAGGATTCTGTTTAATGCAGTCAATGTAATTCAAGGCCACATCCTCTAAGTAACATCAGAAAACTGCACTGTCAATCAACTGTGTACCTTCTTTGATCCATCCTTACATTTCAGATGACAGAAGATTTTGTGAGTCAAGTTAATTGAACAGTGTAGGGTATCAGTTTTCTCAGCTTGTCCTTACACAGGATATCACACATAACCAAGACCTCACCATAAGCTGGAGGAAAAGGTTATTGCACTTGAGAGAAAATTATATACTCTCTAAAACTGTATGCAATTGTAGTGATTTCCTTGAGACATGCAAAAATGTACTAGGTATTCATTTTGACTGAGCTCAGTGTATAACTTCATTTTTAAAAACAAGAGTAAAAACCAGACAAACACATCAGTGTGACCACAGTGTTTTCCTTTAATTTTAGTTCACTGCAGAGTTTCTTGACAGACAAAGTTAGTCTTTATGAAGAGTGCTAAAATAAGCAAACCCTTCCTTTCTGATCTCATAATGTTGGAAGAATCTTTTATAATCTTTAAATATTTTTCTAGTTCAATGTAAATCTTAAAATGAAGCTCACTCAAGCATTGAGTAGAATTTGAATCATGCCTTTATTTGCTGGTAAAAATTGCCTTTAGATTTCTGTTTATGTTAAGGAAATAATCACCCCCTCCACACAGACATACATATGCCACCACTGAAATTTATTTTAAAAAAAGAATTGAATGAATAAAGTGAAATATTCCAGAATAAATTCTGTACACTTTTGTGGCCTTTTCATTTTTCACTGAAGCTTTGTGTGTGCTTATATCTGGTATATGTTCAGTGTCTTTAGAATATTCTTTTGTTGAAAATTTTTTATAGTTAAATAAAAGAAAATTTATTATAATTTATATAACTATAATTATATAATTTATTGAAGAAAATTAAGGACAGTATATATTTCTCCTTATCAAAATGTTCTTTTCTCAGAATAAATATACCTTGCCATGCATGGTGGTGCATGCCTATAATCCCAGCAGCTTGGGAGGCTGAGGTGTGAGGATAGCAAGTTCAAAGCCAGCCTCAGCAAAATATATCTCTAAGAAGCCTCATATTAGATTCAGCTTAACAGACATGTATTTACTGAGTGCCTCTCATTCTGTTTCTTTGCCCTAGTCAATCTCATCTACTTAATTTGTTTTTTAAATATTTTTTTAGTTGTTAATAGACCTTTATTTTATTTATTTTTATGTGGTGCTGAGGATTGAACCTAGTGCCTCACACATGCTAGGCAAGTGCTCTACCACTGAACCACAATCCCAGCCCTCATCTACTTTATTTTGACAATTAATGCCTCTGGTCCAAGACTCTTGTCAGTCTCAGATATGTATTGCTAGTTTGCCTCATCTATTACCTACTTACCTGTGGGTACTTTAAGGGCAGTAACCCTAAAACTGAGGAGCTAACATTTGATCTAGGTTTTGAATATGATTGCGATGAAAGTTGGAAAGTGAGGTTGGGGTAGGGACAAGGCATTCCAAACTGGAAGGAAATGGTTCAGAGGTGGTAAAGTATCTAGCCATATTCTAGGCAAAAATAATCTCTACTGTCCCTTGCAGTTCGATAAAATCTTGTTTTCTGTGGTTTTCAGTTATGATAAAACACACATAACATAAAATTTACCACTCTAACCATTTCTAAGTTCACTGGCATTAAGTACATTCACAATGTTATGTAGTCATCACCATTTATTTCCAGAACATCTTTACCAATTAATGGGTAATTAAGCAATAATCCCCATTCCCTGATCCTTGGAAACCACCATTCTACTTTGAGTCACTGTGAATTGGGCTATTCTAGGTACCTCATATAAGTGATATCAAAGAATATTTGTCCTTTTGTGACAGGCTAGTTTCAATTGCACTTGCTGGTTGATGTGGTCAGTGTTATTATTGCCTGTTGGATTAATAGACCAGCTACTTAATTGAACACGTAGGTAGCATAAATAATCCTCTCTTATACGTACATACAATTGGTATATTGAATTGTTTTTTTCTTTTTTGGAGCAGATACCAGGGATTGAACTCAGGGGCACTGGGCCACTGAGTCACATCCTCAGCTGTATTTTGTATTTTATTTAGAGTTGCTTATTGCCTCGCTTTTGCTGAGGCTGGCTTTGAACTCTTGATCTTCCTGTGCCACTAGGATTACAAGCATGTACCACCATGCCAGCTAGAGCAATTGTTCTTTAGGTATTCTGAATTTAGGAACAATTTCCTAATACCAACTGAAAACCCATGTTGATATAGGACTCAAAACTTAATCCTCCAAACCATTGTTCAAATGTATGGATTCATTTATAAGCAGAGAGATGGAATTTTGTATGCGAAGTTTATGGTTACGGTTTACACTCACCTGGCTCTTTTAGAATTGTAAACCAGCATGTAGATACCATCTTAGCACTTTAAATTATTTAAAAGGCAAACCAACCACTTATTTGTATCCTCCAACAATAAAGCCTTTTTGTAGAATTTGAAGATAGAACCTGAGACGTTACACATCCTCCCTCCAAATAGTAGCAAGCTAGTTTAGATTAGTTTTGTTTGTAGTTAGTGTTTTCATTAAGCTGCCTTGAGCAGGGAGAAGCCCTGCCAATTTGCCATTTCTACCTTGCTCCCTAGGCCTTGCTTCAGGCTCCTGCCCGCCTAACAGTCTTCCAGATGTCCAGGTCTTTGGCCATCCTCCACTGATGCTTGTCTCCAGGAGTGACAATCAAAAGGAGGCAGTCAGAAAAGCTATCTGATACCTCTGGCCACTCCCTGTGTCAGAGGAGTACCTAGTTCTACTGAAAAGTTCTTCTGGTAGTAAGTCTTATTTTCAGATCTGGAAGTTGCTTAGTTTCAACTTTAATAACTAAGCAGTATATACTGTTTTGTAAGGTCACATATCCAGCTTTTTATGAATACCTTTTGGTGATAGTTGGAAGTTTCCATTTTGAATTGGTATAAGCAAAGGGGCATACATTGTTTTTAGACTTGAAAAACAGGTGCTTTTCATTCATAAAGAACCTTAAAACAGATAAACTAATTTTACAAAATCTTGTTTTAAAATGTCAGGGCATGGGAAGCTTTCTGCATTCATATGATAGAATATAGTACTTACTGGAAACAGACTTATGGTAAAAGAAAATATTCTTAAGCTGTAAGCCATTATAAGAATCACTTTTATGTGTGTGATACTAGGGAGTGAACTCAGGGGTGTTCTACCACTTAGCTATATCCTCAAATCTTTTTATTTTTAAATTTTGAGACAGGACCTCACTAAGTTACTGAGGCTGGCCTCTAACTTGCAATCCTCCTGCTTCAGCCTCCTGAGTCTTTGGGATTACAGGCATGTACCATTTTGAGTGGCAGGAAATACTTTTTAAAAAAAAAAAGTTGTATCAGGTTTATAATTCTCTGGTTCTGAATGCCTAATTTCTATGCATAAATTCAAGTTACAGGAACCACTCCTAGATCTCTGCTTCCCTCCCCACTATTGTAGAAATTTATTTCCTCTTTCCTTCCATGCACACATGACGTTCAGCTTTTTCTTTCCTCAGTTCAAGTTGACCTGCTAAGGCAAAACAGAGCAGATGTTAAGATTAGTGGAAGTGGATAGGATGGTGGTGCTCTATTCCTCTTTCTTTTATATATTGTACATAGTGTCAACATTAAGAAAGTAGAATCCGTCTGTTTTAACTGAACTAATCTTTCCCTCTTCAGCCCCTAGCTCTAGACCACATCCTAGCCCCTACACTACAATTTCAACTTAACTCTGACTCCTCAACCTTGGAACATTCCCCTGACTCATCATTGTGTCACTAGAGTTTCCATTCTCTGCCTTAATAAAATTCCAGCCCCATGGAGATGCTTGACAAATTTTAAATTGAACTCCTCAGTACTTCCCAGGGATTTTAGAGTGAGGGCACCAGCAGTAGCTTGAGAATCTTCATCCCACAGCTGGGCCTGTAAAGGTGAGAAATGTGTTCCTGGCATCCCAAGTTGGAGCACAACACTGAATTATATATTTTTTCCCCAGAAAAATTGCTAAGTTATAAGTAGTAGTGAGTTTCTCCAATATTCTTCATGCTATATACTATGGATATATTTATGTTAACATTTTCTTTTGGGGAGACAACTCCATGATCCCAAACCTGATTTTTTTTATAGAAAAAAATGCTTGCTTTTGAATAACTTACTTAAAAATGGACTTTTGGGACATAATTCATTCACAACTTTGCTACTGCTAGTATAATAAAACCAACCTTTCGATTTCTAGTCAGCTATGTGTTCTCAAAAATAGAGAATATCATTCATGAAATGGTATGGAGAAAGAATTATCCTTAATATTTCAAGCTATATCTGAAAAAAGGAAGTGTTTTATTCCAGTGTTTAACTGATGGAGGAGAATGGTGTGTATGTGTGTATACTAGTTTTAGAATTCATATACATATATTCCCCCATAAACCTCATTACTCTTGTTCTGGTCAAAATGAAATTAATTTTTCCTGGAGTAATCATATGCTTTTTGAGCTACACACTCCCCTTTCGTTATCCATTTATATAAGTGTCCTTTCTTCTCATTCTTTATTGTAATTATCTTTTCCTTTTAGTATTATCATTCAAGATAACAATTGCAAACTTTGGATTTTTTTCTCAGTTTTGTAATGATTATTAGTAGCTTAACAATAACAGACAATACTGTATTTGTTTAGCTATATCAAAGGCTAAATAGAATTGCAAGACTAGGCTCAGAATTTTATTTTTTTGTATAATGGTATATGGAAAAAATATGTTCTGTGTTCCAAGCAACCACTTTTAAACATCTATTTTAGAATCATTGCATTAGTATGTAAGATTTAACTTTTTATTAGTATGCTATTTTGGCTAAGGTTTATAATTATTAAATTGTTCCATGGCTTTACAGGGTTCAAAATTATGGATAATAATGGAATACCTGGGTGGCGGTTCAGCACTGGATCTTGTAAGTATTTTAAAATAATTACACAAACATTTTTAACCGTTCTTTTATGTTAAGTAAGCAGTGACTTTTGAGCAATGCTAAGTGGTTGTATTAGTTAATATGTTCAAATTAAACTCTTCCTTGAGGACCATGGCACTTATGTCGATAATTCTTTTTTTAATATGACAGTGGAATGCATTACAATTCTTATGTAGATACTTCTTTGTTGCAGATTTGAATCTGTTGCTGACAATCTATGGTATATAAGAAATACAAATAGCTTAATAAATTGATTGCCCCAAATTAGGAGTGGAGTGTTTGCTAATTACTGTCAGTTTTGTGTTTGACTTTTACAAGCTTATTCTAAGACTGAGTTCTTAGATTTTTAAAAATATATAATTGTGATAACTGTCACTAAAAGTGATTGTGAACTGAATATTTGTGTGCCCCACAAACTCGTATGTTGAAATCCTAACTCCAGTGTGATAGTCTTAGAAGGTGGGACTTTGGAAAGTAATTAGGTAATGAGGGCAGAGCCCTCAGGAATGGCATTTGTGTGAAGGAGATTCCAGAGAGCCCTCTAGCTGTCTTTCTACCCTGCAAGGGTACATTGAGAAGATGGCCATCTGGAAACCAGGAAGAGTACTCTCATCAGACTTCAGTCTTCCAGAACCTTGATCTTGGACTTCCCAGCCTCTAGAACAGTGAGAAATAAGTATTTGCAGTTTTAAGTCACCCAGTCTATGATATTCAGGTAGAGCAGCCCAAAGTGACTAAGACATTGGTTTTAGGGATTTGACCAAGTAGGCCTACAGATACAGTTCTGTACAGATTTCTCTCTGCCCCACTGTAGGTTATTTGGAAAGGTGATGGCATTTTTGGATTGTTAAAATGACTGAAAGTGTTACTGCCATTTTAGTGGGCCATTATCAAGAATGCTGAAGTTCTGCAGAGTACAGGAAAATTTCCATTCAATGAAGATATGTTCATGTGCAGAATGCCTCTGAAAAAAACTGATGGTTTTCCCCCACGTTAGTATAATACTATCAATGTTGATTTCTTCCCTTTAAAATCTTTATTAATATGGCTTTAATTATAAGATTAAATATGAATTATGAAATGACCACTGGGTCAGTCAGTCTATAGGGGTTTAAGGTTATAGGGCCAGCTTTGCTCAACTAAAACTGTGACTGTCAACCAGACCCAGGAACTCCCTGAACTTGGGTGTGTCATAAAACAAGTTGCAGTAAGTTATTTTTCAGTTCTCTTCCATCTTTAATACTATAGGATATATTTTATTTACATGCCTCTTCCTTTGAAATTATATAGCATGCTATGTCTAAGAAAAGAGTGTTTTGTTAGGCTCATTAAGTAATATTTTAATTCTTATTTTTTAAGTGAAGATGAGTTTTCCTACCTGAAGGTGATTAGATATTTTTAAAATATTTTAACCCTGACTACTGATGAGTCAAAGTTTCTAATACTATGAACGGAAATGACTGAAAAAATTTTCTTTGCTTTAGGCAGAACTGTACTGAAAAAAAAGACATGATAAACTTGATCTGGAAAGCCTCATTTACTTCTAGGAGTTCATTTTAGCTTAATCAGTTGCCACATTTGGTAATCCTTTCTTGTCTCTAATCTAATTCTCATATCCTAAAGCTTAATTTCATTTTTTTTCTCTCCTCTCCAGTGCAAGAACACCACTGGCATTTCTTTGTATAATATTCTTCATGCATATAGAGTCAGACTTCATTCCTAAAGTTAAATGATCTCATTTCTGTTTGCCTTGTCAGTCTTATTATTACATTAGTTTATTGTTTAGCCCTAGAAGAAGCCTCTCAATTGCTCTGAGAACCTCCTTCTACTTTTAAAATATTGAGAAGCCTTTACAAATTTATCATTTACCTTATCTGTTCCCCCATGGAACTCACCATTTCTCTTCTCCATTTTGTAGGCTTTGGCAAAGCTAGTCCAATCTGTTTATCAAGATCATTAATAGCAACGTCAAGCATTTGAACACTGGCCTAACCCTTCCTAATAGCCCTAATCGATATCCTGAGTGAAATGATTGTGAGTTCTTGATCTCATCCTGCCATTCTGCACTCTACCTGATAAAAATGGCAATTAGAATAAATTAAATGAATTGAAATGTTGTTAGTACTATATTGGCTGAGAATATAAAGACCTAGTTCTTAGTCCCATTTCTACCACTGACAGTTGACTAAAATTGGGCAAGATAATCTCTTTGTGCCTTAATTTCCTCAAATGTTAGATGAAGAAATTTGATTAATGAACTTTTTTTTTGTTGTTTTCATAGCTCTAAAATTCAATCATATTGTGATTTAATTGTAAACCTCATTGAACTGAGCTTTTAAAGGAGAGCTAGTGCTGAAAAAATGTGCTGTTCCTTTTCCATGTATAGTCATATAGAAATGAGTGCTGTCATTTGGGGAATCTAAGAAAGAACGATGATAGTAGTAGAGGAGGACTCTGTTACCAGGAGCAAGGGAAAACAAAGAGAGATGTTGAACAGAGTATTTATCACTTTAAACTGGTGTCTGACTAATGGAATAACATAACATTATGATTTGTAATTTATATCAGCATTATACATAGTGTACCTCAAAGGTCTCTCTCATTCTTGAAAAACCATTTGTCGCATCTGAACAAACTTTGAGCATACTATATATTATTTTATTGAGTTTATTATATCCCATTGCTTTCCAAAAAGAATTTACAGTGGCTTACAACAAAAACCCATATAAAAAAGTAAACAGAATAAAACATGAGCACCAAGAAAAAATGTTGGAAACAATCTGCTAACTGTAAAAGAAGGCATAATATAACATGCTGTATTAGGGACTGACTGGCTGAAAGTCAAAGGAATGTAGGGAAAATCCACAGGCCTAGGTCCACAAGAGTACAGTTTTCATTTTTTCTCTCTCCTTTTTTTCCTTTTGAACTAGGGATTGAACCCAGGAGTGCTTTACCACTGAGCTGCATCCCCAGTCTTTCTACTTTTATTTTTAATTTTGAGACAGAATCTCACTAAGTAGCTGAGGCTGTCCTCAAACTTGTGATCCTCCTGTCTCAGCCTCCCAAGTTGCTGGGATCACAGGTGTGTACCACCACACCTGCCTAAGGGTACAATCTTTGAAAGAGCACATGTCCCTCTTTTGCATATGCTTTCTTCATAATAGAGGCAAAATTACACAAAGCCTGTACACTGTCCTGGGACAGAAGTGTTACATATTAGAGATATGATAAGAAGTTCAGTCATTGGAAAGAAGTTCAGTTATGCATTTTAAGGACAATAAACCACAATCTTGGCATAATCTTTCCTGAAGATGTGTTAGATATATTTTTAAAAAAAACCTCTATTCCTTCTACTTTACATTCCTTCTCTTTCCTATTCCCTTTCTTCTCCTTTTCTCATCACTACCAACATGCCTAAGGAGCCATTTTAACTACAAGATTTGAGACAGTTTTCTGTGTGATAGTGTGGGTGATTTTTTTTTTCTTCCCTGATTCACTGTCGCCCCGTGGCCATTTCACTGCTACAGTTGTCCAGCATGCTGTAGCCCTGCCAACATTTTTGATAGTACCAGTCTTATGAATATGTTTATCCCTCAGTTAGTTGGTAGTACCTGAGAATTTTGTTGCCAGCCATCAATAAAATAATATCTCATTTTCACCTTTTAGAATTACTTCAGTACTGTTTTTTTTTTTTAGTTGTAGTTGGAAACAAACCTGTATTTTATTTATTTTTATGGGGTGCTGAGAATCAAACTCAGTGCCTCCCATGTGCTAGATGAGCGCTCTACTGCTGAGCCACAACCCCAGCCCCACTTCAGTACTGTTTCAGAAAGGAACTTTTGGGGTAGAAGTTGATAGATTTGGAAATAAATAGATAATGTTGCCTAGGAAAGGGAGCTATTGAATTGCAGCCATCCCTGGAGTATACTGTATACCCAGACTAGAGTTAATATTAAATGGTGAGACCAAAGTATGGGTCCTATTTTAGGCTGTTAAATTCTGACATGAAAGTGCCCTTTATTCAGCATAAATATGGCATTCATGAAAGATGAAATACACAAGGTGCCAAAGAGCTGTGAATCCCTCCCAGTGTGAGGCAGAGTGTGCAATGTTTGATTTTCACCACCTCTTTCCTCCTTCCAGCAAACAGAACTGTGTCTCGGCTCTGACTTTAGATTCCCACCCTTTCCTGTAATAATATTGTACAGTCCACTGTTTGTGCTTTATGAGGTACCAGAATTTTTAAATCACCATTTATTTTAAAGAGAAATTTTCAGATATTCCATTACAAGTTCTGAAACCTAGTCTTTGCTTTCCTTGTATTCCAGTTGGAACTATTGGCTTCAGTACAGGGATGGGGATAGAAAGGGAAATGTGTTACATTTATTTGAAAAATATTATCCCTCCATGATTCAAATTTTGTTTTACAATGAGTCTGAATGGTTTAATTATTATATTCATGGATAAATTTAAAATTTGAGTCTCAACAAGACTCTGTTCCTTACAATATTATTGAAACATACAGAATGCTAAATAACTTTACTGTAGTTGACCTGTATGATCAGATAGTTGCTGGGGAAATCTTACAGATTATCTGATCTAAAAATCAGTTCAATGTCAATATTTAGTAACTTTTTAATAACAAATGCCAGCATGTAAGTAGTTGATTTTTTTCCCCAATCAGAAAAACAATTTAGCTAGCACTATCACCATTTAAACATATTTGTTAAATCTCTAATGTAAAAAGTTCAGGAACTCCAGAATTTGAAGCTAGTATCAAGGAAAAAGTGTTTATATTATCTTTAAATATTAAATTTAATCTTTTAAAAAATCTGTTCAGCCTTGGGACTTAAAATTCTTTTGCTTTCTTCCCCCATATTTAAAAAATTTCCTCATTTGTTTAAATATTGGTTTAATAAACTATTGTTTCATATACCTAAGTGATTACATTATTTCAAAGATAGCAATCTTGAATTTTATTTTGCAAACTTTGTGTGTGAGTGTGTGTATGTTTTTCCCCTTAAGCTGCGAGCTGGTCCATTTGATGAGTTCCAGATCGCTACCATGCTAAAGGAAATTTTGAAAGGTCTGGACTATCTGCATTCAGAAAAGAAAATTCACCGAGACATAAAAGGTATATAGCAGTCTAATATGAATCTTAGAAAAATAGATGCATTCTGCAGAAACTGAATTTTTTTTGCCCTTTTTTCTTTACCTCCTAGCTGCCAATGTCCTGCTTTCAGAACAAGGAGATGTTAAACTTGCTGACTTTGGAGTGGCTGGCCAGCTGACAGATACACAAATTAAAAGAAACACGTTTGTGGGAACTCCTTTTTGGATGGCTCCTGAAGTTATTCAACAGTCAGCTTATGACTCAAAAGTAAAGGATTGCTTGTCTAAACTGTTGTGTTTTTATGAATAAATTTTATATAGCAGAGATCTGATAGGAAGAATTTTATTTCAGATAGAGGAACGGCCAAGAGCAAAGGGTCCTGGTGCTATCCTAGTTAAAGAACTGCCTTATTTTCCTTCTTTATCAAATCTTTCTTAAGGAAAAGTTATGTCATATTTTGCTGCTTCCTCATAAATTCCCTTGATGCCAATAATATTTGGACCCTGTTCACATCAATGACTTTCCATCTTACTTGGAATGAAATCTTAAGTCCTTACTGTAACTCCAGCTGTTATTTGCCTCTCCAGTCGTGGTGGCCTCATTGTTGTTCCTCAAGCATAGCAAGTATACTCTGGCCTCAAGACCTTTGCTCTTGCTCTTCCCTCTTTCTGGAATAACCTTCTTCTAATCAGGTCTCTGCTTAAACATCACAGACACAAAGATGTCTTTCTCAGACCTTCCATGTGAATTTGCAAACTTCTTTACCCTCTTATTCATTATTTCTTTATTCTGCTTTATTATTTTCCTCACAGAACTTATCACTGTCTGACATGTTTGTTTCTTCTCTGTCTCTCATACTAGAATGTAAGCCCCTTGAGGGCAGGAATTTTTGTCTAGCATTTTTACCACCTGAATCCTCTGGGCCTAGAATGATGCCTGGCATAAAGTATGGAATCCAATACATTTTAAAATAAGTGAATTCTATTAATAACAATTTATTAATGCCACCGATCTTGGCAGACTTTTCAAAACTATAGGACCACTACCTTCTACAGACTCTTTTGTGGCAGTATACTGGAATGAAGTTTCAAGGTAATAGAATTTTTTTCTTTCTTTTACCTCAGGCTGATATTTGGTCATTGGGAATTACTGCTATTGAACTAGCCAAGGGAGAGCCGCCTAATTCTGATATGCATCCAATGAGAGTTTTGTTTCTTATTCCAAAAAACAATCCTCCAACTCTTGTTGGAGACTTTACTAAGTCTTTTAAGGAGTTTATTGATGCTTGCCTGAATAAAGATCCATCATTTGTGAGTATTTATTTCTTTTACTACTATCTGTTTTCCATTATTAGATCTATTTGGAGTAGAGGTGGCTTTTTCCACAGTGGGGAATAGAATGAGGTGAAAATTGGCTGAAATCTATCCAGGAACCTAGTTCTTCCTTCTACATTGCTGATCTTAGTCAGTTCTTAACCAGAACTTTACTCCTTCCCCTGTATCTTTTTCTTGGTCCCCAGCTTCCTGCTGTTTACTGATCATTTCCTATTTCAAGGAGAAAGAAATTTGAGAAATAAAATTCATCTTATGTCATTATTAAAGTACATGTGTAAAATATTCACGATGATTCCTTTCAACCATGTTATCATTTTTCATGAAAGTTTGTGTTTACTTTTTATTTAATATTCAGAGACTTCAACATGAAGTTTTATACTTTTCCTGGTCTAGTAAAGTCCTCTCATTTACTTGGCAGTTTTATTATAGTTGTTTTTGCTGTTGTTTAAATTAAAGCTGCCTTGTGATTTCTAGAGACTAAAAATATACAAGAACTTGATATAACTAATTTTAAGTTAATAGTAAACCTTCTGATATTAATAAAATGCTAGAGGGAAAATATCGCCCACAGCATCTGCTGTTTGCATTTAGACACAATAGGAATCGATGCTTTATAGAGAAAGGATAATAAGATGTGGGCTGATAATAACAAAATTAGGCATTCCTAAGATGTGTGCAGATGATAACAAAATTATAGCCTTGATAGTTTTCATGAATTTTTTCAACTTACAGTAAATGTAATAAAAGTATTTTAAAGCTTTATTTTGAGATGTTTTTACATTTTTACTTTCTAAATCCTTTGATGTGCCTTTGAGAAAGCTTTACCTTCTGGTTTATTTGGGTTTTACCAAATTGGTGTAAAAACGTAGTGAATTTAATGTGGTTGCCTTGAGCCACTTAAAAAGTAGAATTAGCTATTTTCCTACATTTTAGTTTTCCTCCTGTCTATAGATTTACTTTTAGTTCCAGTGATTTTTTTTTTTACACTCACAAAGAGCTTTGATATAGTCATGCATTCTTCATTTTATTCCTTAGCGCCCTACAGCTAAAGAACTTCTGAAACATAAATTCATTGTAAAAAATTCCAAGAAGACTTCTTATCTGACTGAACTGATCGATCGATTTAAGAGATGGAAGGCAGAAGGACACAGTGATGATGAATCTGATTCTGATGGCTCTGATTCGTATGTACAAATTATTCAATTTGTATGTAGGTAGCCCATTTCAATACACTGTGTCTTTTAACAATTATCTGGTATGCTTGCATTAGCATGAAACATTAACCATATTCTGAGGTTTCATTATAGAAACTGAAAGTTCCCCAGTCACAGTCTGTGTAATACAATGAATTTGGAAACATGTTGTTCTTGGAAGTGAATAGCTCTAGTTTTAAATGGTCTTGGTCTAACCCCTAGTGGATACTTGAGCATATTACAAAATTTTGGAATAAAATTTCATTAAAGGTGTTAACATTAGTTTGCAAAAAGTAATAAGGAGCCAAATGCAGTGGAGCACATCTGTGATCCAGTAGTTCAAGAGGCTAAGGTAGGAGAATCACAAGTTTGAGGTCAGCCTGGGCAACTTAGCAAGACTCTGTCTCAAAATTAAAAAATAAAAAGAACTGGGGATGTAGCTCAGTTGTAGAATGTCCCTGGGTTCAACCTCCAGTACCCTAAAAAGTAAGGAGCTATATCTTCTCACACTCTGATGGCAACCTCCAAAATCCCTCTGGAGAACTGAGCTTTCCCAAGTCTCAATCATGCACCAAACTGTGATCAGATTGGTACATTGAAATATTTATTTATGGGAACTGAGGGTGTAGCTCAGTTGCCTAGCATATACAGGGCCCCAGAATCCATCTCTACTACTGCAAAAAACAAACAAACAAACAACAACAACAACAACAAAAACAATATACATGGACTGCAGATGTAGCTCAGCGGTAGAGCAGTTGCCTGGTATGTGTGAGGCCCTGGGTTCCATCCCCAGCACCACAAAAATAATAATAATAATACCCATTTATATATGATTTTCACCCCTTAAAATGTTGCAGTGGCTTTTTTTAAATGGAAGCATTTATATAAAAAATTCAGACTTTAGGTTTCTAATTTAGTTTTGACTGGGAGAATAATTAGGCTACACCATAATTTACACTTTCATTAGGCAAACTGGAAGAAAGGAAAGACCAAATTTTTAAAGATAATACTCTTAGATTCCCACATTTATGAAAAAATCCCCAATATTCAAAATGTGTAAAATATATCAGAATAGTTTGTACCCTGTTCTAATGGTGTAACTAGACTTAGGTGTCCTTGTGAGTCACCCAATGAAGCCTAAGACCACAAGCTGCACTGCTTGAGGTCCTGGTTCAGTAACTGGGGAGTGGTGGGGGATGGGTAAGTATGTATGTATGTATGTATATATGTAGGAAGTATTCCTATGGGATTCTGATGCACACTTAGAATTGAAAACCACTTGATTCAGGAGGCTGAGGAAGGAGGATCGCAAGTATAAGGCCAGTCTCAGCAATTTAGCAAGACCCTGTCTTAAAATAAAAAATAAAAGGGGCTAGAGATGTGATTCCGTGATTAAGTGACGCTGGGTGGTTAAGGTCAGTGGTCAATCCCTGGTGCCAAATAGTAGTAGTAGTAGTAGTAGTAGTAATAATAATAATAATAATAATAATAATAATAATAATAATTATTATTATTATTATTATTAAATAAAGAGGGCTGAGGTGTAGCTCTGTGGTAAAGTACCCCTGGGTCCAATCCCCAATATTACAAAGAAAAAGAAAGTGGGAGGGAGGGAGGGAGGAAGGAAGGAAGGAAGGAAGGAAGGAAGGAAGGAAGGACAAGCAGGCAGAAAGATGGATAGAAAGATAGACACACATTACTCTTTGGTAAAATGTATGTACCTGAAAGTGAGGTCAAATGCTTTTTTATGCTATGTTTTTTTTAAACATTGAGATAATTATCTTTGCATTGATTTGATGTTTTTATCATGCTGAATTATTTATAAACTTACAGACGTATCTTTGGCAATCTCTTTAGGGAATCCACCAGCAGGGAAAACAATGCTCATCCTGAATGGAGTTTTACCACTGTGCGAAAGAAGCCTGATCCAAAGAAACTACAGAATGGAGCAGTATGTATATGGAAACTATCACTTCCTCTTAATAGACTTTTTCCAACTATGTAGTGAGATTATATGGCTAAAAATTATTAGGATTCAGTACCCCTAAATATCTGTCTGCCTCATTAAACATGTAGTATGCTTCATTTATCATAGTTTTTTAAAAAAAATTTTAGATGTTGATGAACCTTTATTTTATTCATTTATTTATATGTGGTGCTGAGAATTGAACCCAGTGCTTCACACATGCTAGTGCTCTACCACTGAGCCACAACACAGCCCCATATCATTAGTTTTGAGCTAATTTTAAAAGATAAAGTCATTTAAGTGGTCATTGGTATTTTAAAATGTGTTTCACCTAGAAATAATAAGCCCAAGGAATCATAGATATCTATTGTAATTTTAGAAGAAGCCTTCTTGGTTATGGAGGGGAATTCATGATAGGAAGAAGCATAGGATTTTGCTGTATCTTAGGTCTTTCCTGGGCCAAATTCAAATTAATTCCCATTTGTCATAAAATAAGAAAAGCATGAATGATTATTTTAATTTTATGTGTGTAATCTATATTATTTTTTCAAAGGAGCAAGATCTTGTGCAAACTCTGAGCTGTTTGTCTATGATAATCACACCTGCATTTGCTGAAGTAAGTACAAGTTCTTGAGCATTTGATATCTATTTTAAATAGTATAGTATTTCAGATGTTACAGCTGTCATTCTTTCTCAGCTTAAACAGCAGGATGAGAATAATGCAAGCAGGAATCAGGCAATTGAAGAACTTGAGAAAAGTATTGCTGTGGCTGAAGCTGCCTGTCCTGGCATCACTGACAAAATGGTGAAGAAATTAATTGAAAAGTTTCAAAAGTAAGCTTGAAATGTCATTTTAAAAATAGTTGTATGCTTGAAAATTGTTGCCCATCTTAATCATAACTTTTGAAGTTATTTTCTTTAGACATGAGGAGGTAGTTTTCCAGTAATGAATGAATGGCCCGATTCTCCCCTGACCCCATCTTTTCTCTGCTACTAGTATAGATAAAAGGTCACTGCACATGTTCTTATTTGAGCACTTACAGTAATGTTATTTAGGAATGCTTTCTTGATACTGGGCTCAGAATTTGCAGAAACACAACTGTTCACATAGTTTCCAGTGCTTATGTTCCTAAGTTTGAAGTCCAGTATGAAAAGTTAAGGGAAAAGTTTTAGGTAGAGGACTATGTCTAGACAATACAATTGTTTGACTTCAATTTCTATACTGTATCTTTGAACTATTAATTTGATTTTACTTGAAGAACTTATAACCAATTTTAAAACTATTTTATTAAATAAGACTTGTATGTACACATACAATACAGCTTAAGCAAGCTATGAAGTGATACAAATTTTACTTAAATCCATTATATTGCTTCTCAGTGCCCCTTTGTATTTCTTGTATTCATGATGTCAAGTGGGATTAAGTTGGAACAAACCATGAGACCTGTAAAATCATACAATCTCAAAGATCTTTCTACCCGATAAAGCCCACTTGTATTCATAAACTCAAAATCCCTTAGATTATAATGGAAAACTCCCATCCATTTTCCAGTATGCAAAGGAATCAGTTGGAAGTTGTGAAATCAAATACAGAGGGATATTTGGATTTGCTTGTGTTTTAATGTCTCTAGGACAATACTCAACTGAAAATACCTATCTCCTTGGCTTAATCAGATCCTTCATTACAGAGTTCGTATAAGTGAGAAATATAAACATGCATAATTGTACATCAAGTTATGTTTTTCTTAATTTTATAGGTGTTCTGCAGATGAATCCACCTAAGAAAGTATTTCTGGCTTCAATTTCATACGGACCCAGAGTAACCCACCAAAGCTACTTCAAGCTTAACAATGCTTAACTCGTGAGCTCCATGTGCCTTTTGGATCTTTGCATCATTGAAGATTTGGAAGAAGCTATTCAACTATTTTGTGATGGTGTTTATCATTTTATATTTTAAAGAGATTATTTTGTAAGGAAAACTTTTAATACTATAGTTTCACCTGTATTGTAGTAAATGTTGAGATACAGTTTTGCTTTTAGGTATCATTATTTCTTAAGTTACTAGGATGAATACCTTTCATGTTTTGATCTTTAGTTAACTGTACACTCATAAAACATACAGGTCTTTCAACGGCATCCTAAATATTCAATTTTCGTAAATCATCGAGCTTCAAAAGTTTTTATTTACACAAGCATATTCTAAAAAGGACTATCTGTGGAATAGTGGAAGTAAGACACATCTTCTTAAAACAAATTTTTAATAAGCTCTTTGAAATTGAACCTGGAAAAGTATTGATTCTTATACCAAGTTGGTATGAATTCCAGGCAGCTCAATGATTATCACATTTGAGAGCCCTGTGTTTGAGGCGTTGACAGGCAGCGTGTAGCAACGGAAGTACCTCTTGGTGTACAGTATTTATCTTTTTGTTTAGATGGAAGACACAATCAACCCTTATTTAAATGGTTAGAAATTTTAAAGCAAAATCATTTAGCCAAGGATGTGTTTTTGGTAACAATGGAGGAATTATACTGGCTTCATTTTTTAAATCTTTAAGTCAAATTACATATGCTTGGATTTAGAGAGCTTGAAAAAATGCTGATTGTCATGTGATTAAATACCTGATCAACAGGTATGAATATAATTTACACAGTATATTTTTGTCATAGCAGTAAATTGTCCTGTAAACTATTTATTCATTTTTGTTCATCATAGTTATCAGTACAAAAGCATCATATGTTCATTTCTGAAAGGGTATATCAAGCATTTTCCAATTCATATGAAAATAACCATAGTACAGGATGATTTCTGTCCATTCAAAGGTAAGTTAGACTGTACAGTTAATTTTTAGTTATATTTATGGTACTGTTGAGTGGATAATAACCTTCTTTCTTTTAAGCCCAGTATATATATTATGCCTGGCTAAGTGCTGAACTGGGGCTGTATATCAGTAGTTGTAGAATTATTGATATTAATTAGTTTTAATAGTTAATATTTTGTTTGGGTCTGCACACTTGGATTTTGCACAAAAATCATTTTTAAAAAGAAATCTGAGTAATTGCCAAATATTAAAAGAAAATGTTCTACAAGGAAAGAATACAGTTTTTCATCAAGGTAGCCATTACATGCTCTTTTTAAAATATAAACACTTGAGAAAATTGTGGTATAATATGCCAAGAAATTTCTTGTCATTGGTGCCTATGCAGTAAAAATTAATTTTAGTTAATTGTATTTTGAAGTAATGGTTCAGTTAAATTTTTCACCTGCTATGTATCTGAAACACAATTAAAGTTTATAATCTGTAGCACTCTCAAAATGATTTTGCAACTCATCATGGATTAAATGAATATTTTTGTAAAAGTAAAAGCAACAAGTTTATAAATTGATTATTTGAAACTTTACAACTGCATCACAGATATGAATTGTACTGCTTACTCATTATAGTTTTTAGTCCTGTAAACTGTTTCTAGGTGAAGCATACTCCAGTGTTTTGGGGGTTTTGAAAATAAATATTTAATTTCATGATCTACAAATGTTTGTTTTCTTGAGGGGAGTATAATGTGGTATCTTAATCATTTCAAAACATTTCTCCTTTGACTTTTAATTTATTATTGGAACATTATAACCAAAGTTTTTATTTGAAACTAAAAGATACTCTTCACTTTTTATTTAGGATTGATTACAGCTACAGTGACCATCTGTCCTGATTTCTGCCTCCTATCTTGACAGAATTATTAATTAAGTACCATTTCCAAAATGTCCTGGCTTAGACAATAAATTATATGGTCTCCTTAATTGCCGTTTTATTAGAAACTCATGTACAGATTTAAGCCCTATAGTTCTTAGGAAAAAACATAAATTTAGCAAAGATTTTCAGTAAAAGAGAAAAGAAATAGCATATAGCATAAAGGAGTTTGAGTTTTTTCTAGATATAAGATTGTGGGTGAACTTCATAGCTTCAAGGATCTATATATAAGATCCTTGAAGATCCAAGATTTAATATATAAGTGATCAGTCTTTAATTTTTTTAAAAAATTCTGTGGTGCTAGGGATCAAACTCGGGGCCTTGTGCATGCTAGTTAAAAGCTCTACCACTGAGATAAATCCCCAGTCCTTCAATATCTTCTTCTTATTCAATAACTACTCTAGACTTGTGAGTTATTGGATATGGTTCCAGGAGCAGAAAGGGAATGGATGGAATGAAATATATTAAAAGGGATTTTTCTGATGTAAGGGCTAGGAGAATAAAGAAACTGATTTATCTTTTCTCTGTTAAGTTATATTTAAAAATAGCTTGTTTGTATAATTCCTTCCTTTCTTTGAACGTTGTGTTTAACATTATCTTATAAATATGTTAGACTTAATATTAAGATCAGTTAACAAAATTAAGTTCTCAAGTGGAATGCTATACCTTTAGGAGGACTATTAGAGAAATTCTGAATTGATCAAGAATATAATTTTAGTTCATTTATGCAGTCTGATGTCATTAATATTTACCCTTCAATTCCATTTATCCATCCTGACCATAAATTTTCACTTGCCTTCTTTTCCCTATTCTGTAACTGTCCTATCCCTTATTAATAGGCCAGAACCAATCACTTCTGAAATCAATTAAAACAAAAGGAAGACCATCCTTGTTTTTTAATTGAGTAGATTTCCATCACACTTTATTAAAAAAATCTCATTTTCTTGCCTACATGCATGCAACAAGATATGGCCCAAAAAAAAAAAAAAAAACCTCTCTGGCAGAAGACATTCAGTCAACAAACTGATCTGTTAGCTTGTTTCCTTCACTACATATGGTAGATGTTTAAGAATAGAAAAATTATACATCAGACATAATATCCTCATCAGCCCCATATCTGGCTGTAGAAATTGGGCCTAATACATTAATTTCCTGGGCTTTAAATTCTGCCAAGTCTTATATTCTAAAAACATCCGTTCCATTGAGAGGATCTATGCTATCACCTTGTTTTTGAGGCTGTAGAGGGCCATGCTCCCCTAGATAAAAATGGTAAAATCAAAGTCCTTAGCAAATAACAAGACTGCTTTTACTGGGTCCCCCACAAATAATGAGGACTGAAGCCTTTATTTTGTATTATTTAAAAATGTACAAAATAACCAAGATAGCCACAGTCTACTTAATCACAATATGTCATTAGAAGCCAAATCCATATGTAAATCCATACTCTCACTATTCACTATTGAACAGCCTGCCCTGCATTTTTCATCACTCTATGAAGAAATATATAACAGAGCTGATAAATACTCCCCACACCCTGCCATAGTATTGGGGAGGAGAGGACATGCTCCAGTTTGTTCTGAGGGAACAGAAGAGTGAAGCTCAGGGAATGAGGCAGCAGCTGAATCTTTCCAATGAAGAGTGACTAAGAAAATGGTTTGTAAGAAAGTTCCTTATTTTCTACCTAAGATTCTAACATAGAACTGACTCAGAAATGTTCACAGAATTCATACTTAAGCTAAGAAGTAATTACATGGTTTTAGTAAAGTCCTGTCTTCAGCACTTGGTGTGTTGAAAGAAACATCTTCATCTTCTTCATCTAGCTGGAGACTACCAGAAGACAAACGGATTCTGGCCATGGGTGACTTTTTTCCTTTGCCATACAAAGAGTAGTAGTCTGGTTTAAGAATCTCTGATTCAGAATCACTGGATTCACTAGCTACGTATCTTTCTGCTGTGCTCTGATCCATGAGAACTGCTGGGAACTCCTGCTCTGCAAACATACATGTAAATAGGTCTGCTTTACGACTCAGAGCGGGACGAGGCCCTAAAGGTCTAAATTCGGACCCAAAAGGAAAACGGATAGTTTTCATGTCTGATTGGCTCTGGGACCGTTTGGGGGTTTGCTCTTGAATGTTATATGTAAAAGCGTCTTCTAAATTTGGGTCTTCCTCTTCTGGATCTAAATTGATATTGTTCCTACCACTAGTCCTGGCCATAGCTTCTTGGAGTTCTTGAAGGTCTTGCTGAAAGCTTTTTATTCTGGTGTTCCTTGGACTCCTTTTGGGTGGCTTTATTGCAGAGGGCTCTAAGTAGTTGTCTGGTCTTGCCCTTTCCTCTGCCATGACTGGAGAGCGTCTGGGCACCTGAGGTGGCTTGTCCACATAAAAAAAGACTTGGGGAGGCATAATATCCACTTGCTGACTAGTACAAGGAATATAGGGCACATCTGTGTAAGTTAGCTGCCTTGCTGGACTCACTCCACTTGTGAGGCCAGAAGATGTGTTTATGTGATGGTCAGCAAACTTGGAGCTTGTTCGGAAGGAGCTTAGAGGACTTCTCTGCTCAAAGAAGTCTCTGGGATCAGGCTGAGGATCAGGGTCAGTGTTAAAGACAGGATCTGAATAAAGAAAAGAGAAAGATGAACTGCTTTGCGACTGATGTAACGATGTGGGATCCGCCTCTGGTTTGGAACGCTCCAGTTCAGCTGCAAACGTCACCTCCACGGCAGAGTTCCTCCTCCTACTGTCTAACACAGGTTCAGATGCGTGTACTCCATTCACATTTCGGTAGTACCCACCACCATATGCTAGTCTCAAGTCTTCCACCTTGAAAGAAAGGACATGTTGGTGAAAAAAAAGGAAAAAGCCATTTGACTGGAGTGGGGATCACACTTCTATCTTAGCCAAGAATTTTGAAAAGTAGTTTTCCACAAAGTTAGTTCAATCCATGTTATATTCCAGGATTGACAAATATATATGGAAAGGAGAAGAACTTGTACCATTTTCTAAATTGTGTATTAAAAAGAATATGACAGACTATTCTTTCTCAGTTACATCCCATTTCTGGCCTCCAAGTATGCAATAGACTTGAGGCAACATTGTACTTCAAGCAGTTTTCGTTTAGTAGCTCTTATCAATGAACCAGAAAACCTGCCTGGTCCGGACTCTGCTTTTGTCTTGCTTTTGTGTGACCTTAGACAAGTCTCCTAACTTTCTTGCTCCAGCCTCCTCCCTATTTTCTGTAAAATGATTGGGAACAAGTCTATAAATGGCATGAAATTTTCATATACTGGACAGAACCTTTCATCATTATACCTCTGATAGCTTTTGGATAAAAACTGACTTGAAATGAAGGCATGAGAGTTTATGAGACCTATAATTAATTTTTTATATAATTAATTTTTGTAGAAAGATCCAAAGAAAAGTGATTAACAAGATTGATACTATAAAACTGGCAACTTTCTCCTTCACTTAAACACAGTTAAGCAGCAAAATTATTTTAAAACCTTAACACAGACCTCTTACCTTCCTCTAAGCCTTAAAATTTCCATAGGTAGAAAAGCAGAGATTTTAGTTTTAAAAATACAAAGCCATAGAAATTGATTTGGATCTTCATTTTGCAAGATGTTAACAATACTGGTTACAATTTGAAAATGTGCCAGAGCCTTTTAGTCTATAAGGTACACACCAGTGGGAGTTTACTAAATGGTCTTCTTTTGGCCAAGAAAGGTTGAGCCAGCAGCCCTCCCCAGGAGGCTAACCTTCTGGAACAGAATAACCCTTAGACACAGTGGGAGATTGTGCGGAATCAATTTTTGGGAGCATTTGAAATTTGGATGAATTACATGTATTTAAAGAAGTAGGAATTTTCAGAAATCTTACTTGTTTTGACACATCAGAGAGGATGTCTGGTGAGGACCTGCACTGTCGTTCATGATACTGAGACGGGTAATGCTTTCTGAAATCCCCAAACAGAGAAGTCATTGAAATGGCTGACATGGGAATAGTGGGATATGTATGAAACTGTACATTCAACTTGAAGTCAGCATGAGAGGGAGAAACAAAAGCATGTACCTTTCAAATGGCAAGCTCTTCAACTGCCGTTTATTCCCATATTCCAAAAGCTGCCTTTGGGTTCTTCCACTATTACAAAGATGAGTTCAAATAATTAATAAATAATCCAATAAGCTACTAAAACTCGAGCCTCAGTTACTGTTGAAACCAAAAGCATCTAGATGAATTACATAGGTCATGACTTGTTGAAGATCACATGAATGGTAATGCCCACCTATCCAAGAACCAGGAAGAGAGCAACCTTAACTACATAGAACCCAGACATTTCTTTTTTAAAATTATTTTTTAGTTATAGTTGGACACAAAACCTTTATTTTATTTATTTTTTTTTATGTGGTGCTGAGGATCGAACCCAGGGCCTCTCACGTGCTAGGCAAGCACTCTACTGCTGAGCCACAACCCCAGCCCCCCCAGACATTTCATTTCTACAAATTTAAAAAGTCAACTGACTGGGGCTGGGGTTGTGGCTCAGTGGTAGAGCACTTGCCTAGTACACGTGAGGCATTGGGTTAGATTCTCAGCACCACATTAAAAAATAAGTAATTAAAGGTATTGTATCCATCTGAAACTAAAACAAAATTTTTTTAAAAACTCAACTGACTGATTATCTGTTTCCCAAATGCATGGCAGGAAAAAAGCAGCTAACTAAACAGCACAAGAGGATAGCTCCAGTCAGTTGTACACTAGCAAAGAAATGCAGCTGACTGGTGGGAGAAACAAGAGCCAAGAAAGATATCACAAAAATAATAAAACCCAGAAAGTCTGAGCCATTTATCACTGAAGTGCAAGGCCTGACTTGCCTCCCCCACCCTGAGGCCGTCACTGCACTACAGCTGCCTGCAGAGGATAATAAGTGATGTTTATAATAACTCAGGTCATTAAGGAAAGGGCAAAATATGCACAGTATCATCTGTTCAAGAAGACAGGGATTTGTAGAATACATTTTGGAAAGATTCCATCAAAAATACGTTCTTAAAAATACCTCAATTCTTACTGGGGCAGACTTCCACTGTTTGACGAATTCCTTATGTGGAAGCATTCGATTAGAATTTTTTATCTTAGCTAAGAGTTTTGAAAGCTTCTTGCAGTGCATTCCTAGGCTGGTGTTTTCAAGTAAAAACAAGATCTTAATTCGACCTCACTTCCATTCCTCCAAGGTGTGACCTGTAGTGAGGAGCTGCTAGTGTAATATTGCTCAACCTTTTTAATCCCTTATCCCCTCCAGTGCTTTCTTGCTCTTTTGCCTAACATCACCAGAGGATGTTGTTGATCTTTCCTTCCCAAGTCTTGCATATAAGTCGCATATAAGACAAACAATAGGTTCATTGAATATATTTTCTCAAACTGCTTATGCCCCCTCATCCTTGTTGTGATTCTGATCCAACCCCTTAAGTAGGTAAGCCGCCATCCCCCTGTCTCCCAATTGGGAAATATTGACTTAGAGCATCTTGTCAAAAGTGAGCAGTAAAGAGTACAATCTTTCAAGTGACTGAAATAAATTCTTTTTTTTGGGGGGGGGGGGCGGTACTAGGGATTGAACCCAAGAGCACTTAACCCCTGAGCCACATCCACAGCCCTTTTTATTTTTTTATTTAGAGACAGGATCTCACTGAGTTGATTAGGGCTTCACTTAGTTGCTGAGGCTGGCTTTGAACCTGCAATCCTCCTGCCTCACTTTCCCAAGCCGCTGGGATTACAGGCATGTGCCACTGTGACTGGCTGAAATAGATTCTTTATTCTTTCTAGAATTTGAACAACTCCTATTGCCTCCCATGTTATTAAAAAGAAGTAGTATACTACTGCATGGTATTTAATTACCTATAGCGGAAACTGGAACCCTTGCTGCAAAGTAGAGTTTTGGGCTTTGATTTGGGCTCTTCAGAAAGCCTGAAGAAGGCATGATACTCCACACAAGTCTTCCAGAAAGCTTTGCAGGCATCTCGGCTGGCCATTGTGAACTCCAAGGTGTCCTTGCACAACGCCTATGTAAAGCAATTTACATCTAGCAAAACATTCTTCCAGAATATTAAAGACTTTGGAATCCCAATGCCTTCCAAGCTCTCAGTCCCAGGGACTATAGGGCTTCTGATTTCCCACTCGGCTCCCCATAGGCTTCACACCTACTGAGACCAAATGATTGGCAACCTTCAGAGGAACAGACAGGGCCACTGCTCTCAAATAGAGCCTTCTCTAAAAGTCAGTGTTGCTTTACACACTAGCCTTAGACACTGTTTAACCCCCACCCCTTCTCTGCCAGGAACATTTTTATGAAGTTGTAAATCAGGTTAAAATGAACATCAAAGGGCATCCTTTCAAGGTGACAAGAAGTTATAAATGACCAACAGGAAAGGGGAGGGAGGAGGAGATTTCCTTACAGATGGAAGGGTTTATAGGATGATTACATGTCCATGAGGCTTTTTAACTTACCAGCAAGAAACACTTCTTCCTCTAGATGCTATCTTGCTCTATGATGTTCTGTGTTGCTCTTTTAACATATTTCAATCTGTCTTTGGGGACCTTGGCCTTCCAAACCTAAAGTTCAAGATCTTCCCATCCCCTGACTCACTATATACCCCCTTTAGCCCAAGGCTACATGGCATGATTACAGTCACATTTTCCACAGCCCCACCAACCCACTGCACTGACCTTCCCACTTGTCTCATTTCTTTCCAGGTTCCTACTTACAGCCCCTGCGGCTGACCATGAATTTCCCACTGGATACAGTCTCCTTAACTGCTCAAATGAACACTTTAATATAATGCCAAGATTCAGAGAATGAAGCCCAAACGGACCTTCTGTAGGTCAAAAATTATTTGATACACATGTTTCATTTCCTTTATGGTTATAAAACAATATCATTTCTCACATCTTTGTCTCATCTTGTATGATGCAAACTTGCCCAATGATTACTTATTTTGCTTATGTGTATACCCACTTCTCATATCCTGCTTGGCTTTGGCATGTAGTAGATGCTCAACAATTTTTTTCTCAAGAAAAATAGGTAAAGTTACAGAGGAAGGCAGGAGGGGAAGGGAAAGGGGAAATTGAATTTGAATTCCATGAATATATGAAATTTTCACCATGAGCCAATTACTATGTATAACTATAATGCTCTAATAAAAATAAATAAACCTCTAAAAAAGATATATGTTGTAAAATGCAATGGAGAACATCAAGTGATTCGGTCCATAGTCCTAATTCTAATCATTCATTCCCATTTGACTCATCAAACCCCTCAAAAACTATTTCCACAGAGATTTCCCTTACTTTACTCATTCTGAACTACAAATCAGATTTCTTAGTGTTTTGTCTTTGCTAATAGTGTCAGTAAAGCTCTGGTTGGTTATGTAGAGGCAAGAGAGGGGGCATATCACCCCTCACGGCTGGTCAGCTTTTCACTACTTATATTCAAAACATTTGCAGAAGCAACCAAGAAATTCCAAGTGAACAGAAAAGCAAAAGAATTTATTAGAAATGTACTTACCAAGATATTGGCATGAAGTTTGATAAGAAAATGTTTTCTCTTAAAACTCAACTTGCGGATTTTAGCCCAGTTGAAAGTATTGATCTTTGTATTTCCCTGTAATAAAACATGTAGCTGATTTCAGTCTGTGTAAGCAAAATTTGGCTTGTAAAACAGGGCAAATATGATTGAAAATGCACTTCATAAATAGGACTGTGTGGTGTGTGTGTGGGGGGGTACTGGGGATTGAACCCAGGGGTAATTTACCACTGAGCTACATCACCAGTCCTTTTAAATTTGTTTTTATTTTGACACAGGATCTTGCTAAGTTGCTGAGGCTGGCCTTGAACTTGTGATCTTTCTGCCTTATCTTCCTGAGTCTCTGGTATTACAGGCATGTGCCACAGCCCCTGGTGAATGAAACTATTTTTGATCCATCTCTTGCATAGAATGATCCTGTTGAGCTAAGTAGAAGCTATGGCCAAGTGTTTCAGGTGGGCCACAAGACTGCTCTGGGGATGGTTTCTGGCTTAGACAGTGAGATCACAGTAGAAATGGATTACTTTAATAGGTTCATGAAACTCACCTCTTTCCCATGTTTGCAGAGTCAGTTGCTAAAAAAAAAGACATATTTCTCCTGCCACCCCATTTACCCAAATACCTTTAATAATTCCTCACTGCCTGCATCATCAAGTCTTGGCTGAGTTTTCCTGTTACTTTTCTATTGAATATACAGCTGTATTTCCCACTGCTCCCCCCCACAAAAAAACACTCTTTCATTCAAATCTACACCTTTCTCCTCATTCTCCTTACTCAAAATACCTTCTACATAGACAAGCCTTCTTACCAGCTTTGATAGCACCTTCTTGAGAATATTCATTTTCTTTGAAGAAAAGATTTACTTTTTTTTGGTACCAGGGATTGAACTCAGGGGCACTTGACCCCTGAGGCACATCCTCAGCCCTATTTTGTATTTTATTTAGAGACAGGGTCTCACTCAGTTGCTTAGTGCCTCACTATTGCTGAGGCTGGCTTTGATTCTCGTGTCTCAGCCTCCCAAGCCACTGGGATTACAGGCGTGTGCCATTGCACCCAGCTGAAAAGATTCACTTTTTAAATTAGTGTTTTAGCTGTTTATAAAAACTTAAAATTGATATATGTTAATGGGGTACCATGTGATGTTTCACTGCATATATAATTGTGCAATGTTCCAGCCAGGTTAATCATATCTATTTCATCAAATATTTTTTGAAATATTTTTAGTTGTAAATGAACACAATACCTTTATTTATTTATTTATTTTTATGTGGTGCTAAGGATCGAACCCAGTGCCTTACATATGCTAGGCAAGTGCTCTACTACTGAGCTAAAGCCACAACCCTCACCAAATATTTTTATGATGAAAACATTCAGGGGCTTGGGCTGTGGCTGAGAGGCAGACTGCTTGCCTAGCACGCATGAGGCACTCACTGGGTTTGATCCTCAGCACCACATAAAGTAAAATAAAGACATTGTGTCCACCTCTAACTAAAAATAAATAAATAAATAAATAAATAACATCAGGGCTGGGGTTGTGGCTCAGTGGTAGAGCTCTCGCCTAGCATGCGTGAGGCCCTGGGTTCGATCCTCAGCACCACATGAAAGTAAAATGAAGATATTGTGTCCACTTAAAACTTAAAAAAATAAATGTTTAAAAAAATTCAGAATACTTTTTCTAGCTTTGTTGAATTATGTAAGACATAAATGTTATCCATAGTCATCCTACTGTGCAATAGCACACCAGAGCTGTTTCCTCCTATCTAATTGTAACTTAGTGCACATTGATCAACTTCTCTTCATCCTTCCCTCCCTCTATTTTTCCAGTCTTTGGGAACCTTTACTCTCAACTACAACATCAACTTTTTTAGTACTTTCATTTCTGTCCCTAGCTTATTTCACTTAACATAAGAGCCTCCAGTTCCATCCATATTGTTGTAAATGAGAGCATTTCATTCTTATTATGACTGAATAGTATTCCATCTTGTATATTTTTGTACATTTTCTTTACCCATTCATCAGTTAATAGAGGCTTAGGTCATTTCTTTTTTTAAAATATTTTTTAAATTGTAGGTGGACATGATACCTTTATTTTTATGTGGTGCTGAGGATCGAACCCAGGGCTTCACACATGAGAGGCAGGTGCTCTACCACTCAGCTACAGCCCTGGCTCTCATTTCTTTTTTATTATTATTTTTATTTATTTTTTATTTTAATTTGTTATATATGACAGTAGAATGCATTACAATTCATATTACACATATAGAGCACAATTTTTCTATTTCTTGTCTATTGTGAATGCCTTCTCTAGAATATTCTTATTCCTGCAGCCTATGTCCCTTCCTAACTCCCCTGTACTCTCTTGGATCTCCTGGTCTGCGTAAACAGCTTACCTTGTTTTTTTCATTTATTTGTTTGTTCAAGAAGTAATCCATTCACATGGTTGAAAACCAAAAGCACACACAAAATATAAATAGTATTGAAGCCAAGTTTGAGGCCAGCCTCAGAAACTTAAGCAAGACCCTGTATCAAAAAAATTTAAAAATCTGGGGATGGTGGAGTGCCCCTGGGTTCAATCCCCAGTACTCCCTGCAAAACACACAAACGCACGCACACATACACACACACACACGCACACACACACACACTCACACACACACACACACACACACACACACACGGAAAAAAAAAGATATGTAGCATTGAGAAGTTTCACTCTCACCACCATCACCCCTACTCTTGTTCCCACCTAACCATTCCCTACAAGCACCACATTTATTAGTTTGTTGATTATTTAAAAGTCTGATAGCACTATTGGGACCAAGTCTCTCTCACATTCAATGTTAGTTTCTTGACTGCCTTTTGTCTGTTCTCTCTTTCTTTGAAACAACCTTCCTTAACTCCCAACTCTGGCCCTGTGGCCTAGATAACTTCCTCAGGTCTTGGCTTAAACGTTAAGGCCCTCTCACCTGTTATCTTAGTGCCCTACACTTCTAGCACAAACTCCTGGCCCTTGTTTGTAATTACTTATTTAACTATCTGTCTTCTCCTCATTAGAAACCAAGTGCTATGAATTCAGGATCATTCTTATCTACTTCTGTAGCCCTAGTGCCTGGTACAGAATGCACAAAGAATATACTGAAAAAAGGATGAATAAATAAATGGCTTCCTAACTCCCTAAATACACTAAAAACTACTGACTTGCACATTTTAAAACAGTTCAATTTTATAGGATGTAGTTGATGCCCTTCAGTAGATGAATGGATAACAAAATGTGGCATATATACACAATGGAATATTACTCAGCAATAAAAGAGAATAAAATCCTGGCATTTGCAGTTAAATGGATGCAGTTGGAGAAGATAATGCTAAGTGAAGTTAGCTAATCCTCCAAAAAAATAAATGGTGAATGTTTTCTGATATAAGGTGACTGACTCATAGTGGGGTAGGGAGAGGCAGCATGGGAGGAATAGACAAACTCTAGATAGGGAAGAGGGGTGTAGGGGAGGGGGCAGGGGGTTAGCAATGATGGTGGAATGTGATGGACATCATTATCCAAAGTACATGTATGAAGACACGAATTGCTGTCAACATACTTTGTATACAATTAGAGATATGAAAAATTGTGTTCTATATGTGTATAAGAATTGTAATGCACTCTGTTGTCATATATTAAAAAATAATTAAAAACCCTTTTAAAAAAAGAAAGAATATGATAAAGAACACAGAGGGCTGGAGTTGCGTTTCAATGGTAGAGCACTTGCTAAGAATATGTGAGGCATTGGTTTCGATTCTCAGCACCACATATGAATAAATAAATAAAATAAAGATATTGTGTCCATCTACAACTAAAAAAACACTTTAAAAACAAGAACACAGAGATAAATATCTATTCTTTGACTGAATTTAGGGTAGAGACACAACATATTCTAAGTAACATCAGCTGTATTGTTCCCAACTGCCTACAGAAATAATCACATTGAAAGAAATCACAAGCAACATGGTAGCTCTACCTTGCTACCATTCCCATCTTTTCCAGTGCAGTAAGAAATGGCAAGGACCAGGGGTTAGAGTGGGAAGGGTAACAAGGCCCTCCTGGATAAACACATATGAGGCTTTTAAAATTTGTTCTTTTTAGTTATACATGACAATAGAATGTATTTTGACATATTATACATAAAAGGAGTGTAATTTTCCATTCTTGCAGTTGGACACGAAGTGGACTTACACTGGTGTTGAATTCATAATCGAACATAGGAAATTTATGTCCAATGTATACCATTATTTTTCCTATTCCCATGCTCCTCCTTTCCCTTCATTCCCCTTTGTCTAACCCAATGAACTTGTATCCCCACTTTATTGTGTGATAGCATCTGCATATCATAGAGAACATTTTGTCTTGGGCTTTTTGGGATTTGCTTATTTTACTCCATTGAGTCTTTTGCTCATCAGTGTGACTGACTCTCATGCTGAAAAGTTTATAACCAAATAAATGAGAAGGCCAAGATTCTCTTAGCTGAATCCTTACATGACCTGTTTGGTAACTCCAGAGTTCTAATTTGGTCTTGGGGGTCAGTGGGCCTTAGGTCATCTCCCTTCTCTCTTACAAGTGATTTATTCACAACAAAGTCCTGGGAAAAGAATGAACCAGTAAATCGCAATAGTCAGTGGCAAGGTTGAGCACTAATGCCCTGCCAGCTAGCACTGGGCACCTCCATTGCAAACAAAAATGAACAGAAGCATGGCACATTTTGGACCCCTCTAGGTGTCTCTGGAGGACCTGGACAGTGTCACAGCCTACATTTTTTAGATGCCCTAATATACTTGCTCTAGAAGTTCCAAAGAGCTTCTTGACTTTACTTCCCTACCATGTTGGCCTCAACAAATGTGTGAACCCCTTAGAATGTAGATAGTTATTTACAGATTGCACCTTGAAGCAAAATGCATTGAGGGGAGATGGCTTACCCCTGACCTTTTCAAGCATTATTTCCCTTTATAGCAATTGGTAAAACTGAGTATTGTGATCACCCATGGAACAGACACCCAAGTTTGAGTGGAGATAACCTGGCAAGCTGAAGGACTTGGAAGGAAAGAGTTGTTACCCGTAACACCAGGACTCCCATGTGTGCAACAGCCAGGTGAATCTGCATCCCTTCACCATCACTGGCAGGGTGGGGCCTGATGCCATACATGTCCAGTTTCCTTGCTATGTCCAGTAGTAGAATATCAGATTCAGCTGGATTTTTGCCACTGCAAGGGGAAAGAATTTATGAGCCTAATAAATCCAGCACGCATGACACCTCCACTCTGAGAGCTCCATGAGGAGGTCAGTGTTTTCTTGAGCCTGAAGCTTCTCAGGCTTAAGGGCTTGCTTTCAAGAATCTGTTCCCAGCTTTAGTGTCCTCCACTGGGGAAGCAGGTGCCAGTTAAAGTACTTACATGTGCTTCTGATGAAAGTGCATGATCTTGCTCTCTAAACAGTCTTGGTTTGGTAAGTACCGGCTTTGTGCCAGATGTTTCTTGACTGTTTCTTCATGAAAGTCTCCCAGTTCTGCTGCATGACAAAAGAAAGTGACATTTTTCACATTGCCATCGAGGAACTAAGCAACTCAGCCATTGCAAACAGAAATGAACAGAAGCATTGCACATTTTGTACACCTCAAGGTGTCTCTGGAGGTCCTGGACAGTGTCACAGCCTACATCTTTTAGATGCCCTAATATACTTGCTCTAGAAGTTCCAAAGAGCAAACTCAGCCTAATGATCTCCCCCAAATAGTTCTTTCTTTGCAGCTAGTTGTAGCTCCATGCCTCTGACTTCATGCTATACATATATGTGTATTTCTGTAGGGGAGGACCGACTGGCTATTTTTCAAATTATGAGCAATTGGTATTGATGTTTCAGTATAGTAAGTTACAGACATTGTGTCCATCTACAACTAAAAAAATTTAAAAATAAGAACACAGAGATAAATATCTATTCTTTGACTGAATTTATGGTAGAGACACTAGATATTCTAATATGAGCAGTTGGTATATGCTGTTTCAGTATAGTAAGCAACAGACGTATTACCAAGATTATAGCTGCATGTTTTGTTGGGATTTTCTTTTCCCACATTCTTCTTATATCTCCTACTTCCAACTAGCCCCTGTTAGAGGTTGAATTTTCTCTCTCCAATATGGAAATCCTAACCTCCAGGACCACCAAACATGGTTCAATTTGGAGACAAGTCCTTTAAAGAGGTGATTAAGTTAAAATCAACGACATTGGGAGCTCTGTAATTCAATCTGACTGGTGTTCCTATAAAGGGAGGAAATTTGGACATACAGAGAGATGCAAGGGATGTGAGCACAGCAAAAGGCCCACGTGAAGACATAGCAAGAAGACAGCCATCTGTAAGCCAAGGAGACAGGCTTCAGAAGAAACCAAACAAGCCAACACCTTGATCTTGAACTTCCAGAATCATAAGAAAATTATTTTCTCTCCTTTAAACCACCCAGTATCTGGTATTTTTCCTTGACAGCCCTAGTAGACTAATTCATCCCCCCAACTTCACTCCACTCTGATCATATATTATCAAGAAAAAAGGAATAAACATGCTAACTATAATGCAAACCAGTCTCAGCCAATTTATCACTCTATACATTGGAAATCTAGTAAATCCCCAGCTATCTGGAATCCCCAGGAGATGAATCATTCTGGAAATTATTCTGGGCTTTCAAATACCTAGCAGTGTATGCATGATCATAATTTACTCTTTTCTAGATGTCTCCAGCTTATTATTTTAAATACTTTTTATAGCATTATGCCTATGCAGGCAATTGAGGTATTTAGGGATTATCTGCCCCTAATTTAAAAGGCCTCAGGCTGCTTTGACATTTGGATTCTTTTGTCTTCTTTATAGTTGTTTTATTAAATTGTTGTTACCATTGTTGTTTTTGCTTTTTTCGTATCAGGTTTATATGAATTACTTCCTGGTCATCGAATTCTCATCTAACATAAAATGGAAAATCAGATCTCCACACCTATTAGAAGTGTATGTTGTATAAGAGTGAATACACTCTTGCTGGGCACGGTGGTGCATGCCTGTAATCCCAGTGGCTTGGGAGGTTGAGGCAGGAAGATTGCAAGTGCAAAGCCAGCCTCAGTAACTTAGTGAGGCCCTCTCTCAAAATTAAAAATAAAAAGTACTGGGGATGTAGTTTAGTGGTAAAGTACCCCCTGGGTTAAACCCCCAGTACCATAAATAAATAAATAAACAAACAAACAAATAAATAAAAATTTAAAAAGCGTAAATAGACTCTCCATGAAATCCTGTGGTAAGCAAAATATGTGAACAATAGGGTACCTAGTTTGAGAGCTAGAAGGATTTTTGTTTGTTGATATTCTCTTTTCTTTCTTTGTGTTCTATTTGTATTTTGGACAGACAGTTTGGTCATCTTTAGACAATTAAGGTACACATGTATATTTCAAAATCACATTATGATGAAAATCTCCATATATCAAACATTTATAAAGGCCAATACAATGACTTGTTAATTTATTTATTTGTTCATTTATTTTACCAATACTGATAAATGTACAAATCTCACTAATAATCAGGCTTAGATAGCCTCACTAATTAATTTCATCAAATGTTCAAAATAGTAATAAATATAAATTCTTCACAGTTTTTTTTCCAGAAAATAGAGAAGGGCATACTTACCAATTCTTTCTAGGGGCCCAGTATTACCCCAATACCCAAGCCAGATAAAAACATCAACAAGAAGAGAAAAGTATAGGTCAATATCTCTTGTGAATACAGAGGCAAAAATCCTCAATAAAATACTAGCAAATTGAATTCGACATTAAATAAAAAACATTGCAGGGGCTGGAGTTATGGCTCAGTGGTAGAGCACGTGTGAGGCACTGGGTTTGATTCTCAGCACCACAAATAAAGAAATGAATAAAATAAAGATACACCAACATCAAAAAAAAAAAAAAGATTGTATGCTATGACCAAGTAAGATTTATTTCAGGATTTCAAGGTAAGTTCAACATACGAAAATCAATTAATGTAATACACCTATTAATATAATAAAGGACACAAATGCACACATACACATACACACACACACACCAAAAAAACACCCCAACTCATTATACATTATCTTCTGAATAGATGCAGAAAATGCAATGAGTAAATCCAACACCCATTTATGGTAAAAACACTTGGCTCAGTGACAGAGCACTTCTTTAGCATGTGTGAGGCTCTGAGTTCAATCCCCAGCCCTGTAAAAAAAAACAAATAAGCAAAGAAAAAACCTACGGCTAAGGAGGGGAGGGAAAAAAGGAAATACTGGGGAATGTTATTGACCAAATTATATTGTTATTTTGTGTGCACATATGAGTATGTAATAATGAATCCTCACATTATGTATAATTATAATGTACCAGTAAAAATATGGGAAAAAAATCTTATAACTACTATTATAATCATACTACATGGTTAGAAACTAAATGCTTTCTGTTAAGTCCAGGAACCAGACAAAGATATGTGTTCTTGCTATCTCACCCAACATGATACTGGTGGTTCTAGTAATTACAGTTGGGCAAAAAGATATATAAAGGATGTGCTCAAAAATGGAAGAGATAAAATTGTCTTTACTTGGAGTAAACATGATCTTGTATGTCAAAAATCATAAAGAACCCACAAAACTACTAAAACTAATAAATTAGTTCAGCAAGAAAAAACTGATATACAAAAGGTAAATATATTTGTATATAATAGCAATGAACAATCTGAAAATAAAATTAAGAAAATAGTTGCATTTACAGTAACATCAAGAAAAGAATAAAATACTGAGGAATAAATCAAACAAAAGAAGTGTAGGACTTGTACACTGGAAACTACAAACATTGATGAATTTTGAAAAATGATTTACACAAGTGGAAAGATATCTCATGTTCATGGACTAGAAGACTTGCTATTGTTAAGATGGCAACTTTTTCCAAAATTGAGCTATAAACATAGGACAATCCCCATCAAAATCCCACAGACTTTTTTTTTGGTAAAAATAAATAAGCTTAAAATTTACATAGAAATGAGGAGATGCAAATTAATCAAAACAATTTTGCAGAAAAAATAAAGTTGGAGTATATACAGTTGCTTATTTCAAAACCTATTACAAAGTTACAACAATAAAGTAAGTGTAAATAATGATAAAAGGACAGATGTTGAGATTGATGAACCATAATTGAGAGTCCAGAAATAAGGTCAAAAGACAAATTTAATGTCTTAAATTCTCAAATGAGGCAGGCCTGGTGGTGCACACCTATAATCCCAGCAGCTTGGGAGGCTGAGGCAGGAGGATTACAAATTCAAAGCCAACCTTAGCAACTTAGTGAGACTCTGTCTCAAAATAAAACTAAAATTAAAAAAAAAAAGGTTGGGGATGTAGCTCAGTGGTTAAGCACCCCTGGATTCAATCTCTGGTACCCTGCACCTCCCCCTGCAAAAAAGGTTGATAGTAAGCTAACTCTTTTAACATAGGCAAAAGTTTTAAATAAGCATTTTACAAAAACAAACAGTGATAAGCACACAAAAAGGTGTCAAATCTTTAGTCATTAGGAAAATGCTGATAATTATAATTGCAATAAGATATGTCTTCATAAACACATATTAATGAAGGTATAGAAAAATTGAAAACCTTATACATTTCTGGTATTAATATAACAATTTGAAAAACAGTTTGGCTGTTTCTTAAAATATTCAACATAAGTATTTCACAACACCAAGCAATTACACTCAGGAATCTTCCCAAGAGAAATGAAAACAGGTACTCATATAAAGTCTGGTGAGCCAATGTTTATAACATTATTTATTATAGTTGGAAATAATCCAAATGTCCATGACCAGGTGATTAGATGGATAAAATATGGTACATACATAAAATGGAATACTATTCAGCAACAGAAAGGAACAAACTGAAACATTTATGAATTTAAAAAATATGGTGAGTAGAAAAAGATACGAAATACCACATATTTTATCATTCAATTTACATGAAATGTACAAAAAAGGCAAATATGGAGAAACAGAAAATAAACTGTGGTTGCCTGGAGCCAAGCACGGGAACAGAGTGTGATCACAAATGGGCCTGAGAGATCTCTTTTTTTTAATTGTTGGTTGTTCAAAACATTACATACTTCTTGACATATTATATTTCACACTTTGATTCAAGTGGGTTATGAACTCCCATTTTTACCCCATATACAGATTGCAGAATCACATCAGTTACACTTCCATTGATTTACATATTGCCATACTAGTGTCTGTTGTATTCTGCTGCCTTTCCTATCCTCTACTATCCCCCCTCCCCTCCCCTCTTCTCTCTCTACCCCCTCTACTGTAATTCATTTGTCCCCCTTGTATTATTTTTCCCTTTCCCCTCACTTCCTCTTGTATGTAATTTTGTATAACCCTGAGGGTCTCCTTCCATTTCCATGCAATTTCCCTTCTCTCTTGCTTTCCCTCCCACCTCTCATCCCTGTTTAATGTTAATCTTCTTCTCATGCTCTTCGTCCCTACTCTGTTCTTAGTTACTCTCCTTATATCAAAGAAGATCTCTTTTGATGTTATAGAAATGTTCTAAAACTGGATTGTGGTAATGGTTGCACAACTCTATAAATTTACAGAGTTGAGTTATGCATTTTTAAGTAGGTGAATTTATTGTATGTAAATTCTACATCAATAGAGCCATTAAAAAATACATGACACATCAAACTTTTGGCTTATTTTTCTTCCTTCTTAAGTGACTAAGTAGATATTAAAGTCCTTTAGTATATTCGTTTGTTTTTGCTTTTTGTTTGTGCAGTGCTGGGATTGAACCCAGGGCCTCACGCATCCTGGGCAAGTTGTCTACCACTAAGCCACATCCCCAACCCTAGACTTTGGAATTATTAAGCACAAGACCCCATGCTGAAAACATAAGAACATCTAAGACTGGGCTTGTTTTTCTCTTCATGCAGAACTATGACAAGTTAGGAAGAGAACTATTACATACAAATAAGTAAATATCACCAATAACAGAAGGTGACAAATGTCATGAGCACTTTCAGTATCACCATGCTGGTCCAAACTATCATTATCTCTCCTGTAATTTCCCCTTATCTGGTCTCCCCACTCCCACCATTCCCTCCTCAGATCTATTTTCACCACAGCAGCTAACATGATCCTGTTAAAATCTAATTCAGATTATTTCACTCCTCTGCTTAAACTGCTTTAATACTTTCCCATCTCATTTAGAGTCAAGCTGTATGTCTTTAATATGTTTTATTTCTTTTCTTGAAACAGGGTCTTGTAAGTTGCTGAGGCTGGCCCAGAACTTTTGATGTTTCTGCCTCAGGATCCTGAGTTGCTGGAATTACAGGTGAGTGCCTAGGATTTGGTTTTCAATTTTTTTAAAACCAGGTATTGAACTCAGGGACACTCAACTACTGAGCCAAATCCCCAGCACTTTTTATATTTTATTTAGAGACAGGGTCTCTAAGGCCCTTCAGGATTAATCTCTCTGCATCTCATTCAGCTCTAGCTAGTCACAATAGCTTTTGATGTTTCCCCAAGACACATAGTATGTTACCACCTCAGGCCTTTTGCATTGAATGTTCTCTCTGCTTAGAACTTTCTTCCACCAGATTTTGCCGCATGGCTTGGTCTCTCACCTCCCACAAGTCTTTGTTCAACTGTTCCCTTCACAGTACATTTACCTCCACTTGCCACCTTATTTAAATATTCAGTACCCACTCTCAGAATCCCTTATCTCTCTTCCATGCTTTATTTTTCTCCATTGCCCTCATCACCTTCTAACACTGTCAACATGTGAACTCCATGAGGGTGAGGATTTTTGTTTCAATTCCTTGCTGTGGCCTTAATTACCTATAATAGTATCTGGTACATGGCATGTATTTGATAAGCAAAAATGAATTTTTGTTGAATAAATGGCAAAGAAGCGTTACTAAGGGAGTTCATAAGGGGGAAGCTTCATTTGAAATGTATAAATTGTGTTTGAGAGGAAATGTCCCATTAGAGAAGATGAGTTCCAAGACAGACTTAAGCAGGTAAGAACGTCAGGATGCGGGGTTCTTGAATGCCTAGAATACAGCAGGTGTTCAACGAATATTGGATGAGTGAATAAATGAACAGATAAATGAGCAATCTGGTTGTGACCGGCATACTATCTTAGTGTCCAGTGAGCCTGACCAGGATCAATTATGAAAAGCTAACTCACTGGAAGTTTAGTTCCGCCTCCACAGCTCCCCTATGGAAAGAGCTTCTATTGATAAACAAAATAACTCCTGGGAAAGTTGAAGGGCTCTATGCTATGCCTGAAATTGGCCACTAGGGAATGCTCAAACACATAAGGCAGCATTGTTAAGAATGAAATTGGGCTCCCCCAAAAAAGGCCACCCAGAAACCCCAACCTCCTGGTTGCTACTTTAAGAGGCAGCCAATGGAGAAAGATGTTTTCCAACAATGTTTCCTCCATCTGCTCTACCCAGGCCCCACATCCCAGTGCCAAACAAAATATTGGACACATGGTTAATGACCTTGGCATTCAGGATCTTCAAAATGATGCTTCACTTTCCACTACTTCTCCTAAATAGACACCATGCTTGAGCTCTACTGGGACATTCTGCATCCTCCATATATGCTGCTTCTTGCCCCACCACCATTTCTTTCATGCTGTTTTCTCTGCCTATCATCTATCCAATTCCCCAGTTTCTCTTTAAGGTCTAGCACAAAAGCCACCTCCTCCCTCAGCCTTCCCTGATTACTATTGCTCTTACTGCCCTCTGCCTTGCTGAGATAAACTTCAGTTCTTTTTACTTGTCCCAGCCAGGAGTCCCTTGATAAACATGGATTCAGACACCATCTGCATCCAAGCACTTCATTCTGGAGTTCCTAGTGAAATCAACCATTTATGGACTGGCAGAAAGGTAAGGGGGCAGAGGTCAAAAATGAACTTATGAAACAAGAAACTGAAGTTATGATCCTGCAGGATTACTAAGGAACAGTGTATTCTTGGGAGGTCTCTAAAATAGAGAGAAAGTCCAGCTGGCCTTAGAAGAAGAGATGTTATCTTCAGCTGCCTAGACCCTACCCTTAGGGCTACAGAAGCAGCCTGGCCTGTCCAGTGTCAACCCTCCCAGGCAGGCCCCCACTGTTCTGCCTCCTCTGCCTACTTTTGTTATTCAGCCTAGTCCAACTATGGCTGCTAGGATATGGGGAACACTAATAGATGCCTGGGGCCTTTTTCCCTTTTAGCCTCTCTCCACCTGCTGTACTCTGTGCTTTGTTCTCTGAAACCATGATAAAGAACAACACAGAAATCATATTGAACGTGACAGTGTGCTACAGAGAGTACATACCAGAGATGTATCCTGGGGGCAAACAGAGGCAGTCAGTGCCTGCCTGGCAAAGTCCATGCCCAGATTTGTCCAAACCAGTTCCTGGACAGCAAGCCCAGGGGCAGTGGGAGGGGCAGGTTGGACTGAGGTAAAAGAAAATCAGCATTTACTTTTAATCTACAGAACCACCCTGTGAGAGGGTATTCTTATTTCTATTTTAAAGACAAGGACACTCGGGCTCAGAGAAGGAAAGGGACTTGCCCTCCACAGTTAGGAAGTAGTAGAGACAGAACAGAATTTGATACAAATCTCAATGGCTGCAATGAAGCAGCCTCTTTCTGCTGCACCATGCTGTTTCTCTAGATCTTATCCAGGCTGTCTGTCCTTTTAAGCCCTAACACAGTGATATTCACACTGGGATGTTCAGCTCTTTTGCTTGGGTCTCCATCTGGCTGATAGGCCCCAAAGCAGACATTAGTTACTTACATTGTAAGATGTGAGATACCATCAACGCTGTACAGTTGTCACTGCAGGGAAGCCTTCCTAGAGCCAAATCCTTCTTTATTTGAAGAGTAAAAAGATACCTGCAAAGAAGTTGGGAAAAATCTCTTAGAGAGAGAAACAGGAATAAGAAAGAGCGTTTCACTTCTGCCAGACCCAAGATAATTCAAGAGACGAATGGCACCCCCAGTGGTGAGTAATGCCTAAGATTTGCTTCAGCCTCAAACCAGCCCCAGACCACAAAGTGCTGATCCAGCATTTTGGCAGTTTTTGCAGCCATTAGGAGTCACCCTGGCCAAATCCTCCCGCCAACTTGAGGGAAGTGGCCAATCATTCTCTGGTAGTTTCTGCCACGTAGCAAAGCCACATTCCAAACAAGAGAGAAAATAAGAGCCAGCAAGAATGAAGGCACTTTTGAGGCCAGTACTGAACTGTTGAGAAAGTGCAGTCAAAGGCTAGAGTGTAGCTCAGTGGTTGAGTGCTTTCCTAGCATGCATGAGGCCCTGGGTTCCATTCACAGCACCACAAACAAAATAGTGTTATCAAGTACTCTCTGCAATAACAAGGAGGTTGGTGGACCAGGAATGATTAGCCTGGTTTACACTTATACAGAGAGGGGTGACATGATTTAACAAGGTCATACCACCCAAAGATTATGATTTCAGAAATCAAGGACTTGGGGCCAGGCTTCTGCCCACATTATTCCCTTTGCCTGAATTGCTATCTCTATCATTGGAGCCCAGCCCAACACTTTACACAGAAGAGGTATCATAAGGAACATTTGCTGAATGGAATTAAGCCTTTTTCCCCACCAGCATCTCACCAGGGACCCTTAAAATGAAGGTTGGTATTTGGGCCTCTACCAAACAAATAGCATTTGTCCCACACATTTAAGGTCTTATCAAAGAAGAATCAACTTTGGGGGAAAAAATGTCTATAATAAAGTCTCCACCACTGCTTTCTTCCGTGGTCCAAGATAAAATATTGATTTTATTTTATACATTAAAACATTTATTGAATATCTACAGTGGGTGCTTCCCTATATAAAATACAATCATTTTTGGCACTGGGAATTGAACCCAGAGCCTTATATATGCTGGACAAGCACTCTGCAAGTCAGCTACATCCTCAGCCTTTTTATTTTACTTTGAAACCGGGTCTTGCTAAGTGCCCAGTCTAGCCTTTAGTTTATGATCCTCTTGCCTCATCATCTTGGAGTAGCTGGCTTATGGCTGTGCACCACCACTCCTGACTAAAATGTGATTTTCTAAATGAAGTTCAGTTGACCTTTTTGGTAACTAATTAAGCCTTGAAGGCCATGTGGTGGATCAAAATTAATTGCAGGTGATAGACAAAAATACAGATTGAAAAATTTAGCAGATGATTATTCAGTTTACAAAAGCATTAATCATTATAATCCTTAGAATTGTGAGCTCCCTAATGCATTAGAAATGACTCAATTAGAAAAATTATATTTGCACACCACTCACAGAAATCCACATATTAGCCTCAAACAAGTATCCTTATGAATTCAACCAGTTAAGTATTCTTAAATGTACCAATGGGGAAAAGCGAAAGGGAACTTAACCTTTGCCATTGTCTGTTTTCAAACAGAGATGGAAATGAGAAAAAAATCAGTTCAGTTGCTAAAAGGAAAGTGAATTTCTTTGTGTTCCTAACAAGAAAGAAACTTCTTGTCATTTGACACGTTCCTTGCTGTTAAGAAGGCAGCTGCCTGCTACAAATACCAAATCTTTCCTCTGAACAGCTGATGAATCATTCATCATCACATTGATTTTCTCAGGTTGTTTTTTTTTTTTTTGAGGGAGAGGAAGAGAATATGTTTATCTCCATCAAAATTGGTCATAATTTAAAACTTAACTGAAATGGGTTTATGAATGCGAACTAACATAAATACCAAGATATCAGGTTATCACAAATAAGGAGAGAATCTGGAGAGAAAAATAGGAAGAGAGAGGCTTATGAAAAGTGACTTGTGCAGGACCTCTCAGAAAAGTTTCCTTGTATGAAAGGGGTGAGGTTGAACTATCTATGAACCATGTAGGAGGGGAGACGTCAGGAAGAATAACTGCCAACATCCTGTGATGTTGGCCAAATCATTTTAACTCCCAGGACATGTTTCCTCATCTGTAAACCAAGAGGGTTGGACTGGGTTATCTCTTAGATCTGTTCTATGTTTAAGAGTCTAAGTCTAGAAAGCAGAGTAGGGGTTGGGGGAGTATTGTATTGACAATGAATTTTTGCAGAAGTAGGTTTACATTGTCATTCCAAAGGGCATCTTTCATAAGTATACATCATCATTACAGAATGTCTCGGATTCTACCTATGAGATATATATATATATATACACACACGTGCCTATTTTCAAAGTTCACAGAAATCAGCTGGTATCATGCCTATACTTATTGAAACATGCTATGAGGGAGAGCATGGTTATTGCTGTAGCAGTTAATAACATAACCCCTAAGGGTCAGCCAGGTTTGCTACCACTTCTAGAATATCACCCCTCATTCTCCCTGAAGCTCCAAACTTTTGAAGATTTACATCTTAGAGACCAGCCAGGCTCTTTCTCTCTCCTGCTCCTTTCCATCTCCCAGAGAGTGACATAGAGCCAAGTCTTGCTAAGGGGAGCTAGAAGCCCCTTCCCAATCAATGGAGAATGATGATCCTCAAGTAACATCATGCAGCAGACACAAAGGTACTATACCTTGTAAGTTCTTCCCGAAGATGTCCAGGGTCCACTGGGAAAAATTTCACCATAAATTTGAAAACAACCTCCTTAGGATCTTAAAACACAATATCTCCATAAGTTGTAATTAAATGTCCATCATAACAGTTACAGGTCTTTACACACAGAAACACACACAGACACCCACCCACCCACACCTACTTCTTTACTTTCCTCCCCTTTCTATTAGTCCTTTCCATTAGACTTTTATTTTAAATTCAATTTTTCATTTGTATAGTGTCTTTATGTGGACAGGAATTGGAAAAGTTTTCCCACCCCTCTCCTACCCACTCTCCTTTATAGTTTCTTTTTTTTAAGATGTGCCCCCTTTGGGGCCTACTATTTGTCCTCGGAAATGTCCTATTCAAAAAAATCTACCACTTGCTGCTTGGGATTCTGCATTCCTGCTTCAGAAAAGGACCCAAGTTAAGCTGGAACACATGATTATCACTTGGCTTAAGACTCTCATAAAGGAACTAGAAGCAGTGTAGACCAATGCCTATATCTTGAAATATACACTAGAAGAACCATATCTACCTATTTTTGCACCTACTTGCATTTGAAAATACGAAACTTGAGCCAAGGGTATGTGCAGCTCGGTTATAGAGCACTCTCCCAGCATGCACAAGGTTCTGGGTTTCATCCCCAACACCACAAATAAGAAAAGAATTAAAGTAGTCACATTGAACATAATTTTTCTATATTCATATATGAATAAAAGACCAGTGAAACTCCATATCATGTCCAACCACAAAAATAGGATCCTAATTAGAATAAGTTATGCTCCATGTATGTATAATATGTCAGAATACACTCTACTGTTATGTATACCTAAAAAGAAGAAACAAGTAACTACATACACATAGCATTAGTGCCATTCAATAAATGATATTCTGTAAATATTTCTTGGGTGCCTACCATGTGCCAAGGGGAATACAAAGGCAGCTATTAGCTGCCAATGTGGTAGGTGAGTTGGATATCTAGATAGACAAATCCAAATCCACAAAATGTTGTAAGTACTGAGTACTGGGAAAGCACAAAAGGGAGAAAAAAGTTTGAAGACGGTCAAGGAAATCTTTCTAGAGGAGCTGAGAATGGAACAAGGCTACCAGATTCAGCAAATAAAAGTGCAAGAATCCCAGTTCAATCTGAATTTCATTTAAATAATAATTACACGGGATGTACCATACAAAAAAAAATCATTCTTTATCTGAAATTCCAATTCCATTGGGCATCCTATATTTTATCTATCACACCTACACCAGAGGTTAGTTTTGTTAAAGTCAGCAGAGATAGGAATACAAATGGTTGGTGAAAGGGGCAAAGCTAGAAAGGTAGTCAGAAACCAGTGCTTTGGGTCATCATGCTGAGGAGGTTGGACTTTACTTGGTGGGTAAAAGGGAGCCAGGAAGCATTTTAAGCAGGAGACCAATGTGGTCAGGGTTGTATTTTCAATAGATCCCTTTTGGGAGTAATGTAGATGATGGATTGGGGAGAATCAGTTTGGAAGCTGTTAGAATAATGTGACAGATGATCATTACACAGCAGGAACAAACAGAACTGTGAGAAGCACCCACATGTAAAGAGCAGGTGGGAGAAGAGGAACCAGGAAAAGAGGTACCGAACAGTGTTTTTCAAAGTGTTGATTGACGTCCATCTGCCTCAGAAACACCTGCAGAAGTGGTTAAACATGCAGATTGCTGGTGGACAACCCAGAAATAAGGTTCAGGAATCTGTATTTTAGCAAGAACCCCAGGTGATCCTAAGGCACTCTGAAATTTGAGAACAACCACACTAGATAGTGAACTATAGGAGGAAATATTTCATGCATAGAAGGCACTCGAATATGAACTGAAGCAAATGGGGGGTGTTTGTGATGGCATAAAACTAATGACTCTTCAGGCAGAAAGTGAATGGCATTGCAGATTGACATTAAGGATGCTTGAAGATTTGCAGTGCCAGAGCATGAGATCTATTCCTAGAGCCAATCCCCAGAGCGCCATAATTACCAGTGTTCTTCAGATGTACTCAAAGATCCAGCGGCATGATCTCCTTCATCTCAGGCAAAATTAAAACAATTTTCTAAATTGCCAAATATACTGAATGTATGAAGGATTGAGATAATATGTCAAAGTCCTTTTCTCCCCTTATGTTAAGGTAAGGAATAGTGTGGGATTGCTGAAATATTTTTCAAGTGTGAACTGCAAACTATATTCCTTAAATGATTTTCCATACTTACTTTTTACTTGCTTTGTTAGGGGTTTCAAAAGTTCCAACCAAACCTGTAATAACATCAATGAAAAAAAAATTGGTAGAACATAGCATTGAGCACAGCAGTTTTTCTTTTGGTACCAGAAAAAGGGCAACATGAAATAAATACCAGGACTATTTAGCTTTCTAAAGATAGTTGGAAACAAACAGCAGTGTCATAGAGACGATGTACCTTCACCACAATCTGCCCACTAGTATTTTTCCAATGACAGTGAATGTTGTTGATCTATAAACTCTTTGTTGTTGACATTTGAATCACTGCTCCCCTGCCTCAGTTGGATGACAAAGGTGTCACACACAAGTCTCATTAATTGCTACAAAGACTAATGAAGGCATTTGGCTCCATTTTTGAATCCTACTGTCCCCCAAAGGACTGTTTAATAGACCTGAGGAGCCTTTCTGGGAAGGTTCTGGAGTAGATATGCCAGCGCAGGACACAGTAAAAGAACATCGTGAATGTTAGGACTGAAAAAGAGGAATGAAGAATCCCCTAAAGATTTTCTGGGGAGGTCAGGAGCCTTAATTCTGGGGATTGAGGTCCAGCCTCTGGAAAGTCAAAATGGATACAGTGTGGAGAACTGTTCAGAGAGTGACAAAACTGGAGCATGTGGTAGAAGAGTTTGTGTTTGAAAAACTGAGGTGACTTTTAATAAACAAGGAGGAAGGGGCATAGTTATTACATTCTATCACTTTGTAAGGTGTATGTAAATGGTGTTTCATTTTTCAGTTAAGGGATTGAGCCCTACATACCTAGATGCAAACTGCCTTTGCAAGCATTTCTAGACACACACACACACACAAAAAGCCTACAATAAAAGAAACTTACATTGTTTCCAGAATGGCTGCAGAATTCTAACCCAAAATATTCCTTTTCGGCAAGATTGAGATGGCTGCAACTCAGGTTAAACAGTGCCTTTCCAGATGACTTTTGCTAAACAAAACAAAGAGATCACAGCACAGTTTGCATTTTCTTAACCTTATATTGTCACTGCAGTTTGGAATAAAGGGTTGAAGCAGCAAGACTCTCCTAAAGCCCCTTTCCTTTACCCACCACATCATTTAAAGGACCTGATTCCTCCTAAAAGATGTTGGGAGCTTTACAAACACATATGTGCATCTATGTATACATGGTTTCAGCAACATCCCTGAAAAAGCCTCAGCTTAATGATAGCTCTTCTTGGAAAAAGAGAGCCTTGCACTTAACTATGGCTTGATCTGCAAATTTACCCTTTCAATGGAAATTTTAATCAATTCATCTCACAGGCAATTTGAATGATTTTCCCTCAATTGACAGTTAGTTTAATCAAGATGTAAATCTGACCCTTTACTCCCCTGCTTAAAATCCTTCAGAGGCTCTCCTCAGGATAAAGCTTATATTCCTCAGTAAGAGAGGCTGGGCTCTCGCTCACATGATCTGCCCCTCCAGCCTCATTTCTTGTCCCCTCTCCCTGACACTTTCCCCTAATAATCACAGCCTGCTGGAAGTTCCCCACACATGTCAAGTTGCTTCATGCTTCTTTGCCTCTGCTCATGTCATTCCTTCTCCACAGACCTTCCTTCCCACCTTTCTGTGGTTGGCTTACTCCTACTCAGCTCAGATGTCATCTCCCCAGGGGAGCTGTCTCTGATGCTATCAGCCTTATTGGCCAAGGGCAGGCCCCTGTGCTCCCATGCACCCTGGCTCACCTCAAACATGGTGCTTCTTATGCTGAATGTCTATCTTCCCCCTAGACTGAATTCCTTCACAGTTGGGACTGAGCTTTCTTTCTTTCTTTTTAAATATTTTTAGTTGTAGATGGATTCAGTCGCTTTATTTTATTTATTTATTTTTATGTGGTGCTGAGGATCGAACCCAGTGCCTCACGTATGCTAGGCAAGTGCTCTGCCACTAATCCACAACCCCAGCTCTAGGATGCCTGGACCATGCTTTCTTTTCCTTTTACCCATCTAGTCCAACTCAAAACCTAGCACATAGTAGGAAACCTTGAATGTTTGCTAATCCAATATGAATCGGACCAAATTAATCATATGCACTCCTTGAGTAGATTTTGCTTGATAGTTTTGCCCACCAAGTCTCCATACTGGAGTCTCTGTTCACATAAGGCCACAAATATTTTCACATAAGGCCACAAATATTTCTGCATAAAGCCCACACACACTGAGAGCATGAAGCAGTGCCTTCCTTAGACTTCGTCTCTGAGAACAAGAGCTTTGAAGAGCTGTCTGTGGAAATCTCTTTGAACTTAGTATGGCTGAGGCTAATCTTCAGCCGCCACCATTGCCAAACCCAAGGGTTGCTGTTTGCAAAGAAGACCGTGATGGGAAAATTGGGCCCTGGCTGATACGCACAAAGACAAACTGCTGAAAACCTCTAGTTAAAGCCAAGTCACGAGGCGCCCGGAGCGCTGCAAAGGAAGCTGGGTGCAGGGAAATCACCGACCCATAGAATCCACAGCAACCTTGAGAGGTCAGAAAGTCCATCCACCCCCACCCCAAGGCAGCAGCTCACTGAAAAGAGCCCACATCTGGGATTTAATAGCTTCCAGGAAGGCGGCCTATCTCGCCCCTTCCCCCACTGACCAAAAACACACCCCTCTCCCCCTGGACTTCCCTCCACTTGGTTACACAGCCCAGAGCTCCACCAACTCAAGATTCATTTGGGTTAACCAGGATCCTATTTTTAAATGCAAATAGGCCACAAAGGGTGAAACCTATTGCATCCCTAGCACCTGGAGAGAGAGCTGCTGTACTGAGGAAAGGAGTTTGATTTGATGTGGGAGTTCACATGGGAGCTCCAGGCCGGAAGTCAGAGTCAGCCCTGAGGATGGGGGTTGCCAAGGGTGTGGGGGGCTAGGGATGAGGGTGCCTGGTAGGGGGAAGGGGCGGGGGCGTTTTGCCTGTGTAGCAACCTTGCCTAGGGCAAGTGCTGACACAGACCATTCCAGACAGATGAAATCGCTCCTATTTTTAAAGTCCTCCAGACAAGGAGCTGCCACGGGATTTTTATTATTGAAAAAAAAAAAGGAATTTCTAAAGAGAGAGGGATGACAGCAATACTTTTTCCAACACCAAAGACATATTTCAGTCACAAGGACTAAATTCCGTCATAGACTCCAGTTTCTTTGCAAACAATTTAAGACACTCAAGATTTTCCTTTTTCCTCTTCATTTTTATTCTTATTTTCCATCAGGGCACTTAATCCACCCTATCAACACTGCCACATTCCATGTGTTTGTATATTTAAATGTTTCTGTAGTCACAAAGAATATATAGCCATCCTTTTAAGGTTTCAAATCAAGGCTTTCTGCTCCCTTCAGCAAGATCCTATACCATGTTTATAAGAATAATCCCTTGATTCTTTCATCCCTGTATATGTTGCCAAATGACTCTAAAAGCCTTTGGCATTTATGCATTTGCAGGTCAGGCACTCACATGGCTAGTGTCCTTCACCCTCATCTCTGTCCTGGACAGGTATTTCCCTTCAGCCCTCCATAGTGTACATTCAAATTGGCCAGACTTCTGGAATGTGTTGCGTAATAGGTATGGTCTTGGTTCTGTCTGAACATGCAACTTTTAATTTTTTTTAACATTATGATCCAATTCCTCCAATTTCATGTCATGATGATCTTTGTCATGATATTACCTTATCTATGACTTTTCTATTTTCTCTTTTGTGAACTTCTGATTATCTGTACAATTTCTTGCTCTTGTTTAAGTTGGCACATTTCAACATTCTAATCAAGATCCTTAGTGGATCTAAATTCTGTACCACCAGTCAACCCTTCTCAAGAAACTGGAATTCCATCCTCGAATCCTATCTTGCCATCATCTTCCTTAGATTAGAGTACTGTAAAATTAATAAATGTATAGTAGAGTACTGTAATATACATATATATATATATATATATATACACACACACACACATACACAAAAACACATGTGAATTTTTATTTATAATGTCTAATTTACTGGGTCATAACCATTGCACACTGATTCCTGGGGGTTCCAAACTCATTCCTCACTGGTTGCAGTGGTGCACATCTGTAATCCCAGTGACTCAGGAGGCTGAGGCAGCAGGAGTGCAAGTTTGAGGCCAGCCTCAGCAATTTACTGAAGTCCTGTCTCAAAATAAAAAATAAAATTGGCTGGGGATGTAGCTCAGTGGTAAAGTGCCCCTGAGTTCAATCCCCAGTACCAAACAACAACAGCAATGACAATTCATCTTCTCATAGAAACAATATTCAAAATGGCTAGCTCAAAAAACAATCTACAGGGGCTGGAGTCATGGCTCAGTTGTACTGTGCTTGCCTAGCATGTGTGAGACACTGGGTTCAATTCTCAGCACCACATGAAAATAAATAAAATAAAGGTCCATCAACATTTAAAAAATTTAAAAAAAAGTCTACACAACTTTCTATGCACCTAGAGCTGTCATATAACAATTTGTTAAAATAGACCTGAATTGTAATCTTGCTCTACTCGATTTCTAACTGAAAGAATTAGGGCAATCATGTAACTCCCAGAACAATGTACCTTTTCCAGGGACCTGAATACAGAAATCCTGTGTTTAGTTGGATGTGGGGTGCATACTTGTAATCCCAGCTACATGGGAGGGAAGGTGAGGCAGGTGGATCACAAGTTTGAAGCCAGTCTCAGCAACTTACTGAGACCCTGTTTCTAAATTTAAAAAATAATAATAAAAAGGGCTGGGGAAGTATCTCAGTAGCAGCATGCCCCTGGGTTCAACCCCCAGTACCACAAAAGAAAAAAAAATGTGTTTGGATACTTGGCAATTAAGCACAGTACCTGGCAAAGAGTGGACATTCAATAAATGTTTACTGAATAAATAGATAAATGGACCCAAATATTAAACTTGATCCAAGTAAGGTAGTATGGTAATCCTTTCAGGAGGAAGAATAGTTTGTCATTAAGTGACCTTGGGAAAATTACTCAACCTTTCTAAGACTGAGTTTACTCATCTATGGACTGGAGATAATGGTGGTATTATCTCATGGGTTCATGTGTTTGTTGTGAGGATTAAACAAGATAATTCACCTTAAGTTCTTATTGCAGCACATACCACATCATATGATGTAAGCTCGGCACGTGCATAGATGAATGCAATGAAATGGGTATGAAATGAGGTGCAGCAGTTAATGGCATGATTATTGAAGAGAGAATGGGGGACTTTAACTTTTCACGCTGTGCATGTCTGTTAATTTATTATTTTTAATAAGCAAGGACAGTAGAAACTGTTTTTAAATATATTTTTTAGATGTATGGACCTTTTATTTTATTCATTTATTTATATGTGGTGCTGGGAATTGAACCCAGTGCCTCACAGATGCTAGGCAAACACTCTGCCACTGAGCCACATCCTCAGCCCCAGTAGAAACTGTCTTAACCAGCTTCTGCTTAATGATGAAGACAATGCTTTCCATTTCCACTTTAAAATATTGGTAGAGCTGGGCACAGTGGCATGTTACTGTAATCCCAATAACACAGGAGGCTGGAGCAGGAGGATCTCAGGCTTGAGGCCAGCCTTTGCAATTAGTGAGACCCTATCTCAAAATAAAATTTAAAAGGTCTGGGGGTTTAGAGTACCCTTGGGTTTTATTGGCAGTAGCACACACACACACACACACACACACACACACACACATAAAATAATAATAAGAATATCAACAATAACAATAAATTTTTAAAAAATGAAAAAATATTGGCATATGTCCATGTTATGAAGAAAGCTCATGGGCAGCATACTACACTAGTATGATTGTGTATTTTGACATCCACCAGTTGAGTCCCATGCTGACTAGTAATAATTTTCTTGAACATATGTTTTACATTACTACTTATATTTAATTGCAATTAAGTTAACTTATATGTATATCAAAAATTATTATGAGCAGTGGAAGCAAGAGTTGTTT